GTGTGGCAAAAGTTGGGTGCATTAGCATGATCTTCAAGAACCAGTCTGCGCGAGCTTGCATGTCTCGCAGAATGGCTCGTGATGGCTTCGACGGTATTTGGAATGGAGAACGAACATCGGCGAGTGAGGGTATCCACGAAGCTGGATTTTCAAGCGCCAGAAGGGTAGGGAGATGTTCAAAATCAGAGAGCGAGCGACGACTCGTTGTCACCGTATAACTGTCATGATCCGTTGGGGCCGCTGACTTCAACACCAATCTCACCGTCGCATCTTCCACGAAGAATGCCCTGACCACACCAGTGATACGTGCATCTGGCCCAGGGGGCATGCTGAACAAGGCAAGATCATCGATCTTGTTCCGCACATCGTCGTCCTTCGCCAGTTCAACTGCTGTGAGGCCTCTGATCTCCTTTGCCCCTACATCCACTCTTGGATCGGCGAACAGAGTACGGACCATGTCGTATCTGCCATACTTGCTGGCTACCATCAACGCTGTGAACCTCTTATCATTCGTCGCATTGACGTCAACATCGCAAAATTGCAGTATGTTCATAGCAAGACTCGCATTGCTGACAATGTGAAGCAGTGTGTTGCCCTTGTTGTCGACATGTTCGTCGATATGGAGTGGCAGACCATCATGTTGCGCTGCAGCTGCAGCATTGAGCCCAGCTTCCACCATTTCCAGATAGTTCTTATGATCGTAAGAGCGACAAAGAGCGAAGAGCGGAGTTTGCCCGTTCTTGTCTCTTTGTCGCCAAGGTATTAGGTGCCCGATTCGAGTGATCAAAGCCGGTGCATTGAAGAGGTAATGAGCACAGCTACGTCCCCAGATGTCTTGCTGCACTAGATATGAAACTAATTGCTCAGGAGTTGTCGAGGTGATGATAAACCCCAGCGTCAAATCTATAATTTGAGCATTGCCTAATTGTATGGCAGCACTCAGCAAGGTGGTATCTTCGTTGTTCATGTCATCTAGAACAAAAGAAGGAGAGAAATAATCGGCCAAGGAGAGCAAGTACTTGAGCGTCTCAGCACGTTCAGCTTGGATGGCCATCATCAGAACTGATTCTCCAAAGGAATTGTTTGTCTGTGACAATCGGTTCACTGAAATATCCCCTTCCAGAGCACTGCCGATGGTCCCAACGCTCCCCGTGCGAGAGTGGAATGAAACCTCGGAATCGCCTGATATGCTTCGGGTGTCCATCGCCACCTTCTTCACCCGTCGTATTGGTATAGAAAAGTCGTGTGCGTGTGTTTCGTTCTCACCCTCTGCTTGGAAGGGGAATACGTGGCTCAGTCCCGAACCATGAGAATAGTGTTCATATGGTGACGGATCGTTAAAAGAGAGACGCAGTGACGATCTTCTAGATCTTGAAGGGCCTGTCGATCTTGTGTCATTTTGGAGATTCAACACTGTAGATGCTCGACGGCTGGAGGTAGGTGATTCTGACAGCTCGTCATCATCAGCAGCCCCCGAGCCAGGTTCCATTATCTTTTTAAGGTCGTCCAGAGTTCCTGTCTTCGCCGCGTCCCATAAGGCTTTGTTTCTTCTGCTGGCTCGCCTCAAGCCGGCCGAGTCAAGAACAAGATAAGCCAGCACTGCCTCGAATGTACTCAGCGCATAGCCCAACTCGCCGCTGTCTACGTCGTCTATGAAGATGAAGTTCCTGACGTAAATCAAGCGTGCCTGTAACTGCTTGACTTGTGATCGGATGACCACATAGAGCAAGAATGAGACCAAGGTATCCGCGTTGATAGTCATGATGGGCTTCTCCGAGGATGCATCAGATGACGCTGCCTGAGATTTCGATGAATCCGTCAAGCGAGACACAATCTTGATTGTTGATAATAAAAGATCCAGCATGACTTGAGGGCAAGTGGCCGCAGATATCTTCTTGAATTCCTCAACAGCCGGTCCTAGTTGAATGATTAGGTCATGCTTCGCCTTCGAACCGCCATCAATGGCAATGCCTAGTTGTGAAATATCGATAAACTGCATCTTTCTGATTTTTGCTTCCAGTTCGAGATCATAAGGTCTCTTCAGTGCATTGAGTCTCGGCCAAAGTTGATTGTGAACATTTTCTGTGACATAACGCTCGATCAGTTTCTCCACAAGAGGACCAGTCAAATCAGTCGTTGCGCCGAGAAGAGAAAGTTGTTGTTTGTCGACCCCTTGGAAGAGGTCGATCGCAGTTGTGACTGCGGTTTCAAGAGACGCCCTCATGATATCTTCGTCGTCCTCAGCATAGAAGTTCTCTGTCACTGGTAATCTGCCCTCGTCGCCCGTGTTTGCCAATGCGCTATTAGAGCGCGCTCGCCTTGCAGTATTGCTGATAGACCCATTCGGTGGGGGATCTGGAATGTGCTCGGCTGACGGGGGAGGAGGTAGTGGACTTCGGAAGACGTTGCTGAACTCGACGAATAACTTCTCAAGGCCGGGTTGCATCTGGCGCGCAATCATCGGGAAATTGTTCAGGAGGTCGTGAAAGCTCTTGATGTCTTTCTTTCGAGGAGCAGTGTTTTCGGTCGACTCGGAGTTTGGTGTCTGTTTCTGATCGGGAATCCTGCGCTTTCGTACACCGGGGACCAAGATGGCTGGTGTAATCTTGTTCTCCTCCCAGACGCCCACAAGGGGTCTCGATATATAGTAGAGAAGCCATTGCCGTGGTTCGAAGACGTCGGGGTAGAAGACGATGTCGTTCAGAAGCTGGGCCTGGGCGAGTGTTTTGAAGCCTATCCTCGGTTAGTAATATTGCCTTTCGCCAGTTCTTGGCTTCGCACCTTTGTTACTGTATATGAAAGCGTCCTTGATGACCACACTTTTGCCGTTAAGCGTTGTAAACTGCTTTGCCTTTCCTCTCACTTCCCTCAAGTTCTGGGCACCGTCTTTGCCTCCTGCGACGCCATTTGGAGATGGCACACGGAGAACGTGACTGGCGAGAAAGTCCTCCGATGCGATGACCTCAGCAGGGGCACTCCCGCTCTCGGTCTCGCGGAATGTGAGAAGCACATCCGTTGACGGAACCAGTAGGATGTGGTGATGTACCGGGGTGCACTGGCTGGGGAGGGAGCTCTTAAAGAAGGCGGCCAGGAAGGGGTTTAGAGGTTGCATTCATTCGACTTGTGACCGGCCGTCTCGAAGCTCACTCGACCTCCCTAGGTCGCAACGTTGAAGATGGTATTTGGATCGAGTTTGGGTGCCGGTTATATAGATCGTGGACGGATCGAGCGGGATGGTGACACATGCAGAACGAATGCTGTTCGATCGTGAGAGATTATCGGTGAATATAATTAAGTCGCAGTAGCACCCGGGCTAAATTTCATGATACGGCGATGAGGCATTCGACGGCGATAACGATAGTGATAGCCCACTTATTGGTGGAAAGGAGCTATCTGGATGATGCGTATGACGTGAGTGAGGTTGAAGAGGAGATGTGTCTTTGTCCTGTACGAGTCGGTAATCGCTAGAGAAGCTGTAGCGAGCGAAAGGCTTGGCTAATACGTAAATCGTCGATCGTGATGTAAGATCCCTAGTCGAGATTGTCGATGTCTGTTGGGAGCTTCAAGAGGGAGCGCAACAGGGCACGTTGCGATCACTTCAATGAGATCGACAGAGGCCTAGATGTATAGGTACTCGAGATACGAACCACCCTGGTGATATACTGGTGCAGAATACAGGAAAGATATGTACAGGAACCCAACCCTGTGGTCGCCCGCCAGCCCGCTCCCGAGCTCTCCGCACGGGCCCCTGCAGTGCCCCTGAACTCAAACCGGGGAATCAATAAGTCCGACCAGGAATGAGATATCACATGTGACTGTGAATAGCATCATTGATTGACCAAGAGATTGTTGTACCACATTGATATTGTTAGAAAAAGTACTGTATATGTCTCAGAATATCGTATCGAAATTGCCCCGATCTTTTTTTTTCACCACTAAGCAGCATACAATGCGGTATAGAACGACTTACTCACCATGGACAATGCCAATTTTGAGATTCTCCATGTGGTGGATTGTAGTCGACAAACAGAGCACGCCGTCTTGGCTTACGTTAGAAGAACGGCAGATTAGCTGAATTCTGGCCCTTGCAAGTTTATGAAATGCTCATCTTTGTCTCTGAACAACTTCCGGTCTCTGACTGAGTATATCTTACTGAACAAGTATCTTGATGAGAACAAAGAGAATTGCTCATTTGAGCCTGGTGGATTTATTGCTACAAAGAAGATGCTTGAATGTTCAGTATTTCTATTCATATGAGCCATTGGTGAAAGAAGTGCCCATCTGAACAGTTGAACGAAATGTTTCTTATATTATCTGCCTGTCTATATAACGGACCACGACTCCATTATATACCAAATTCTGTTAATCATAGACTCACAGATGATTATAATGTCTTACAGTTACAAGCTTTCAAGCCCAAAATCCAACATGCTCAAGGTTTCTCTCTGCCAAAAGTTCCGCTCACTATTCGGAGACAAGCCTGTGGCCTTTGGTCCTGATCTCCCAGACTCGCACCCCGTCTACATCACTCATGATCTTGTCAGGTCTGTGATGAACGTCATCGCCGACAGGAATATTCCATGGCCTATTGATCCCGAATACCGTGTCGAGATGGTCATGGTCAAAGTTCCACTCAGCTTCTGTCCGCAAAACATGGTCAAGGTAATGCCCCTTGATCGCACGGGAAGACATCCTTATACTGCTGCTATTGCTAAAGCAAGGTTCCGGCGAACCCCAGAGCACCCTGGTGGTGAGCTCGTTGCGCTCGCAATGGCGGGCTGGAAGGAGATGGCTGTAGGCTTTAGTCTGGAGCCTAGAGAGCATGTCTCTATTGTTCCCCTAAACGATTGTACACATAAGAATGAGGGAACTACTTAAACCGGGTCAGAGATATCGTTTCTGACCGTATTTAATGCGGCAAAGGCTAGACATAAAATGGAGTAATAGAGATTCAATACATATATATACAGCTTTCCCTCTCTAAGACTTTACATTGTTACTTGATGATGAATGATACTATGTGCTTACTATATTTTCGCAACGATGCCTCATTTTCTCAGTCTGCAAGTGTAATTTCGTAAACCTATGTAAATGAAAAACGGATGGAAGCAAAGAAACCGGTTATATTTGTTTGCAATCGTAAGCTAAATAGGTATCATGAAAAGCCCAACATCGTAACCCGAAAGTTCCATAATTTTACTGATTCAAAATCAGAACCAAGCCCACACCTTCTTCCACCAAGGTGTTTGGCCAGGGACATCCCTTTCTGTTGGGCCACTCTTGTAATCCAGATCCTTTCTTCTGCCACTGTCGAGATCGATGCTCCAACTACGCTTGAGAGGATCCTTTCCGCGCCATAACAGCTTGCAGAATACATAGATGATACCAAACAGTGGCACCAGGATGTAAGCATCCACAAAATTTCCAGCATTGAATGGCGACAACGTCGTCCACCCTTGAACCAGAGCCAAGAAAATACAAGCCCCAAGACCAAACCAGGCGAGATATGGGAAGCCGAGTGCCTTGTACGGAAGCTCATCGAGACTGCGACCCTGAGTAACCCAAGCTCGACGGAAGCGGATATGGATAAAGCAGATGCTGCCCCAGACAAGGAAAGCACTGACACCGGACAGGTTGACGATATAGCTATAAGCCTTGGAGGCACCGGTAGAGACATTCATCATGGAAATGGAACCGACAGCATTGGTGATGAAAATTGCCCAGACTGGAACACCTCGGCTGTTGGTCCAGCCGAATATCTTAGGAGCCTTGCCAGACTGCGCCATATAGAAAACAGTTCGAGAGCCAAAGTAGATGGATGAGTTGATAGCGGACAAGCAAGTTAGGAGAATGAAGGCGTTGATAAGGTGGACGCCTGAAACTTTGTTAGTATCTTGCAGTGGAGAGAAGTTCATGCACATACCTCCTTGCCAGCCAGCATTCTGAATCGCAATAGTCATGGGACTCTGCAGGGCCTTGGAACCTCCGTTCACCAGTCCCTCCGCATTAGCAGGGCAGGTGATTCCAAAGAAGAAAGCTGATCCCATGTAGACGAAGATGATACGCCAGAAGACTTGTCGAATAGCCTGAGGAACCGCAACACCAGGATTTCTCGTTTCAGTAGCAGCCACAGCGATAGACTCAACACCAGAGTAGAATGTCGAGCAAAACACAAAGACAGAAGCAACACCGCGGAAGCCATTTCCGTTGAAAGCTCCCGGGTCACTCCAGTATTTGAAGCCAACAGATCCATCCTGACCGACCAAACCACCAGCGGCGTAGATGATGGCGAAGATGAAGTACGCTGTTAATCCGAGGAGTTTCATAAGCGCAAGCCAGAACTCGGCTTCGCCAAAAGCTTCAACACCAAGAAGTTGGAATCCCATGAAGACTGTCCAGAAGATGAGGAAGTAACCCCATAGGGGAACGACTGGTCCCCAATATGTGAGAATACTGCAGATGACATTATACTCGTTGGCGAGGACAGCGGCCCAGATAACAAAGTAATTCCAGCCTACAGCAACGGAAAAAGACTTGTCTACCATGCGCTCGGCGAGAGAGATGAAAGAGCCTCCGCCAGGGTATAGTGTTGTCACCTCGCCAAGGGACTGCATAATACAGAAGGCGATGATACCTGCCAAGAGTTAGCATTGAATTTTGTAAGGATCTGAAGACTGAATAGAACCTCCTGGTCCCATATGCTCTTCAAAGATCTCAAGACAAAGAACATCATACCAACAACACCAAATCCAATGAGCAATGCAGCTGGTCCTCCGACATTCAATGCACCACCTGCACCAACAAGAAGTCCAGGTCCGATAATACCAGCCAAAGCCATCATAGACAAATGTCTATTCTTCAAACCACGCTTTACACCAGAATCCGGGTCTATAGACTCGGCCTCTTCTGTATCATTCAAGCGTCCAGAGTCATAGTTATGCTCAGACGGACCATCGCCAGCGACGACATCTTCATCCTTATTGTGGTTGAACGCCATACTGGCAATGACAACCTCTGCAGGCAAAGAGGGGTGCGAATCAGAGGTGATCGCCAAGAAAGATAAGCTGTTGAAATATAGACGCAGCCGCTGGAAAGGGAAGAGGGAAAATGTCTCGGGCCCACGGAGATGTATATAAAACTTCTGTAAAGGCTTGCAAGAAAAGTCGAGATAGAGTAGACGCTAGTTTAAGAGGCGACAGGATGGCGATTATGCCATCATCAAAGGGCCCGCCGGTCTAACGCAGGCGAGCGTAGGGTTCTGCATCCAGGAGTAGGGATCGACCCGCTCTTCATGGGTTCTCGAGAAGCTATCCTCGTTGGGTCTTATCTGCTGGTCATGGAGGTTGGGATGGCAGCGAGTAAGAGGCCTGTGGTACCCTGAAAGGATGGGTATATTCTGGACCTAGGACTCAAAGAACCCTAGTCTCACAAGATAGAGACCTGTGACTGCATAGTTATGCATCTTGTTCTGTAATTCTCATATGTCTTGTTTCAATGTTGAGGATCTGCTGCTCTCTGGTCCCTTGTAAAGACCCCCACTCGAATCTGTATGTGGCTTCATTGCTTTCGGATCTATCGTTCTCGAATGCATTTGTGGCGTTGCAAACCTGGGGTTCTCTGAAACGCAATAACCACCGCTGATCACGACATCAAAATATCCCGCAGGAAGAGTTTGCAAACCATAAAAGTGGTACATCAGTGGAGATTTAGAGATTGCTAGCGTGAAGTATTGAAGCATCCTTGAGTGAACCCGAGAATGAGAGGGAACAGTAGCAGGAGTTTAGATCTCAGCCGTGTAGAATTACCTAACTATAAGACAGAGGCTGTAGGTTATTCGCTAGTCAAGATCCTGTTTGTTTATGCTTCAGCTAAAGCAACCCTGATCAATTGTGCAATATTACCCGTTATGACGATTCTCAGCCAAAGACAACGCCAACGTGGGATTTTCATTTGGTTGACCTTCAACAACCAATCACATTCTCTTTCTGTTTCAGCTTGTCTAATTAAAATGTCAAGCTTTTCCAAGACACTATTTCACATGCCGAGCTAAGCTGCAGACGCTGCAGACGTGACCGTACCGCCGATTGTCCGGGCCATCGGCGCCGTTGGCTCCACATCGCCGGATCCAAATGGCGGGCCGATTCCGTAATTACTGGAAAACAACGAAGATCAACAAACATAGAACATTAGAAATAGTGGTTTGGTTATATTTGGCACTCTGAGATTGGGAGATTGGAAGAGGTACGATTCTGTTCTTGACAATATAAGCTTGTCTTGCGATTACAGCCAGTCCCTTTTGACGATTGCTTTCCTTGGGGGCTAGGGATGAAAAAGGAATTCACTTGGTGTGCATAAAATAACATCAAATGAGAAGAAAAGAAAAAACGAGTACATTTGGCTTACGCCTAAACTGATGCTCAGTGCTTCTGCAAACATGCTCATGCTTCTCAGATCTTGTCTATATCCTCATCTCAGACCTCAACACCACCAAGTATCTCCTCGAAAATCTCCAAATTACCCTCACCTCTCCTATCATACACAGCAAACCAAACCTCTTCCCACCAGCCGCCTTGAAATTCGGGCTCCTTAAGCACCTCTAGCCAACAACGAGCAACCTCCTTCGGCGGGTTCCTAAACGCGCCGCATCCCAAGGCACCAAGCACAAGCAAGCCGTGGTTACGTCGTGCCGCCATTCGAAGGCATAATCTCATCTTGAGCTTGGTGAGGTCGCGATCAGCAGAGTTTGCATATGTTTCACTGGCCACAGGACCTTTGGGTGTGTTTAACATAATTTTCCTGACGGGTGGTGTGCGTAGGGCTGCGATGCTGAGAACGCTGACGACGGGCAAATTCCGGGCTTGGATAGTAGGCATGAGAAGCTGGTGTCCAGTTTCCTGATCGGAGCGGATAATGACAACATCAGGGGTGTAGATACCCATGCGTTGCCTCCATGGGTAATATCTTCGATGTAGCGAAAGAGACAGCGAGCTTCGATAGCATAACGCTTCCTCTTGAGCACGCGCTCCTTTCAACCATCCTCCACCAGGGCTGACATGGCTTGCCATATTCAGCACCGCGACGCGACCTGATGCGGGTCCTTTGAGGTCCGCAAGGTGTATAGCCGCGTTGAAACTGTCATCGTTGGAAATCCTAATAGATGCTTTCCCTGATGGTGTCCGTCTGGGACATTCGGCAGCTGTAAGCGGAGGTAGGTGGTGGATCTCAAGCTTCTCTGATCTGTTGGCGTCGAGATTTGGCAACTGAGAAAGGATACCAGGGAGGACTGTCAGCGTTTCCTTTGCTATAGCTGCGAGCGCAACTCCGCGTCTGTATGGATCGTCGCGTCTACTTCTGGATGGATATGGGTGCTGGTTTGATGAAGCCCCTCTTGATGAAGATGCTTGAGATGTTGAAGCAACTGGTCTTGATGGTCTCGATTTTATCCACGAATCAAGCGTTCGCTGACCTCTGTTGGACGACATTGGATGAGAGCTTTTCTGGAATGTTGTTTCGGGATAATTTGAGACGTGCGTTAAAATGGCTGGTCGGAATTTTCTTTTGTAGCTTGTGAGGTTGAAGACGATGACTGAGTCTATATCCGTGGGTGAGCTCAGATAAAATACTAGGCAACAGTGGCCCCAACTAACACTTATTTACCAAAAAACTCCAAACGACGATAGAGTAACGAGCTGGACATAAACACAAGGCAAATTGAAATTGTTCTGTAATTGGTCGACACATCTTTCCAGGAGTCATTAGGTTTTACAGATAAATTATCTTGTCATCCATTCAGCAGTGAACTCATTTCCTAAGCCTCGTATTCACTACACATACACATATCTTTACACAAGTTTTCGTCTGAGCTCCATCCAGGGTATCAAAACAGCCAGTCATATGTTACATATTCATACAAATTTCAAGTGCACATGCGATCACGCAGGTGTCTTGATTGCTCCCTCTGGGACCTCATCCGAAGCCTCAAACTTTCGGGGGATGAGACCATCAGCGTCATTAATAGCCCCTTCCATATTGTCCTTATGGAACAGGAACAGTCCCTGAATCGCTGCTGTGCTTGTGTGACGATTCGATGGTTTGCCATCAGGTCCAACGCCGAATAGACCCAGCTCTTGGAGCCTGCTGAGGAATCGTTCTCGGCCGGAATGATCCTTGTCAACGTCACCGTAGAATCGATCCCACATCTGAGCAGCCTGGTAGTGTGTGGCCTCACCTATGCGAAGCATCAAATCTACACGACCAGGTCGGATGAGCGCGGCATCGAGACGGTCAACGTGGTTGGTTGTCAGGAACGCAATGCGCTCCTCGCCAGCAGCAACACCATCGAGAGCGTTTAGGAGACCGGAGAAGGTAACAGTAGCACCATTATAGCCATCAGAGTCTCGCTGGCGCCGGTTCACGAATGCTGCATCTGCATCTTCCAGCAGAAGCAAGCTCCTCTTGGGAAGTTTTGTAAGGAGATAGGCTAGCTTGTCATCCGTCATGCCCATCTCGCTGAGGTTGATCATGGCCACGCTAAAGTCCAGCTCTCCTGCAAGGGCCTGAATAAAGGACGTCTTTCCACTGCCTGGAGGACCATACAGCAGATAGCCTCTTCGGTAGGGAATACCCCGATCCACATACCACTGTTGCCGGTTCAAGAAGTCTTTTACGTCACCCACGATACTCTCTTTGACGCCGTCATCCAGGATGACGGAGCCCAATGGTCGCTTCTTTCTTGGATCACCCAGCGGCACCCAGTCCATTCCTCGAGCCGAGTATACAATAGTCTTTCCCTCATTCGCCTTGGCTGCCAACTGATGCGCCTCGCTGAAAACTGCCTCGAAAACATGTCGATGCGCCCATAATGTAGTCAATTGAACAATCTCGTGTGGTTCGCCAGTATTCATATTCGCCGTATTGTGCTTTTCTCTGTTCACAGCAATGTACGCATTGCCGAACTTGACGATATGTCGTCCGAAACCCGGTTGTAGGAAGAAGTGCGCATTCTGGGGTCCACTAACTCCAGCCGTTCGAGATGCAGTCGTCGTCGTAACAGAGAGATTATGTATTCGGGTGAGGCGAGAAGCAATGAAGCCCGGGTGTTCGCGGGGTTGTGACAACCATGCTAAGATCCATGGGTATGCGGGATCTTGCTTGCTGATCTCGACATTGACGAGCAAGCGACGACGAGCTGCTCCGAGTGCAGAGATTGCGCCTTTTCGTGCAAATGCAGCGACTGCTCCCAATGATGCAAGACCGATTCCACCAGCGAAGAGCGGATTCTCGAACAGGGCGTTGATGTTGAGCCCTGAAGTTGCTGCTGCGGGTGGTGCCGTTTTTTCGGCGTTCGGGAAGCTTTTGAGAGCTTCCTTGAGGGTTTCCTCGTCCATTTTCGGCGAAGAAGTGGCTTAGAGAATAGTTTAGAAGACGACGCTGAGCTTTTCACATTGGTTCTGGTCGGCAGAGCCCGCGAGAGGGCATTGGTACGATTAGTTGACAACGTTATGGTGATGCTCAAGACGATGATGAGCTTTCTCGGTGACCCTCTTTTTTTCTACATCGTTGCACGTGAACGAGATCCAATCTTCATATCGCCCGGCAATGAAATAATATTACATATCAAGTATGAAAAGATAATTAGGTTAAGGTATCGGGGTCGATACTAAGTCTCGTGATATATATTCTATGATCTGGTTGTGATTAATCGATAATTCATAGATAAATAGCTCCCCACCTGGTATCTGCCACCAAATGACTTGTATTACAGTGTCTAAAGAGTATTCTACAAGACTGCGGCTTAACATAGCCACCAGTATGCATCTCTAGATCACATAGGCGTAAAAAGCGACAACATAGTGTAGACCAACTTTGGAGGCTTGTGTTAAGAAATTCATTACCATATATATTTAAGATTAATGTTGGCAATCTTGCTCCAGGGTAGGTAGCTTAACTTGAACTCCCATCTATGCAGAGATTGAGATATATAAACTGCTGAGCTTGCTCAAAGCTTAGACTTGCTAAGGACCAAGACCTTCTGCTTTTAGACAATTAAGACTAAGAGTCTCTGACTTATAGCTACCCATTTGCTCATATCGCTATGTACCAAGGGCTATCTACTACTGAGGTTCATGAATGTGACATCCACCACCAGAACAAAAATCACAACTCTAGAAAAAAATCAGCCAAAATCACAAAAAAAGAACAGCTGATAGGCATTGGAAGACAATGCTCCCGCCAGGGCTTGAACCTGAGACCTTCGCATTACCAATTACTCGGTATGAAGTATTAGTACGACGCTCTAACCAACTGAGCTACGGAAGCCAATCAGCTGTTGTTGAAGGCCTCCTTGCTTCTGCAAATTCAAGAACGATTTGGCTAGACCGACTGAAGATAAGCAGCAATTCGTTAGCTAATCCAGTACTTGTAAGTGGGGGAGCTGGAGATTGGGGTGAGCTTCATGGAGTTCTGGAACCTTGTAGCCTAGGCGGGGTTGAAGGACGGATGGAGGGACTGGTGGGGGTAAGACCTCGAAACCACAGCTTCTCTTTGTATGAGCCAATGTCTCGATGTAATGTATCTTCGGGTGGATGGGATCTTGACCAGATCTGCTGAGGGATTAGACTACTCAGGGTTGTAATTGAGTAGCCAGGCTTTCTAGCGTCCTTCAAACGCAATCTGCGTGACGTAAATATTGACAAGTTTATGATCATGTCCAACCAGCATGGCATGCATTGTCCTGTCGATCGAGCAGAATTTGCAAAATCTGCATTCGCCATTTCTGGATTGGACATTCGGTTTCAGCCGGGAAGGAGTGTCGAAATTGGACATGGGAAACATCGATTCGAATTGCTGATCCGAGTTTGCCTCGTCATTGTCATGATGAATATGGAACTGCGGTTCGGTATTAGATCACCGAGATCATGTTTGGTTGAGCACCCCACAAGATGATGTCGAAGCTCCACCAATTCAACTGCGATCATGATTTCCAACTTCAGATTACTCAAATTGAGTGTAATATGAATGATATTGCTGGGGAGCACGTTTCAACACTACGCAAACCTTGCATTGTACGAGAATGATCGAGAAATGGTTGCCGTCGGCAATGCAACTGCGGCGGCGCATTGGTTCATATGATTGGCCTCAGCTTCGTGTCTTTGGAGATTTTGTCCAAGAGCATCAGGGGAAGTCAACCCGGAATATCCACAGCCATGGGCTATGGCGGCCTTCCAGCCAACCGTGATACTCACGATATTCAAGTATGCGGGGAAGATGGGGTCACACGAGAACAGAGTCAGTGTATTTGCTAAGAAGTGAGAGTGATGAGCCCGATCAATGGTCTCAAAGGGCCAGGCCGTCCCGCATGTTCCCGTCGAGTGCCCCGAAGCATCGGCTGTGGTAGGAATAGCTCTCGGCACAGAGGAGAGGAGGCTTAGGAGGGAGGGCATCATATAAGTCGGCTGCCCCTCCCCCCATGTTAATGTTTTTCATTTTTGAATACTGACAATTCTTCCCACTATCGTCAATTCCGACATCATCGCTGGGTCGCCTGTCTAACTGCCAAAAGTGTGTAAGTCGCATCACTCTCCACTGTCACCTACCGAGCCCAATCCCATCCACTGTATTTGCTCTTCAACGGCGCCGCTGTGTCGGCGCCCCCACTTTACCACCGAGCAGACGCTCAACAACGTCAGAGAGCTCCCGCTAGCTACCTCGAGTGAGCTTGCTGGGGGAGCGATTTTCTGGACAAAGTCTTGGTCTGACGAGGATGTGTGAACCGGGCTGTCCTATAGCGGAGACGAGGTGGGCAACATGATAGAGTCAAGAGTCGTGAGAGGAAGAGACAGTAGCGCAGAGGCCGAGAGAAGGCCAGAGAAGACATATCGGCCGCGGAGCCACCGGAGAGCCACCGGGCATCGGAGCAGCCGTAAGGGCCCTGAGACTCGAGAGCCTGAAATGGGTTGAGGTGTGCGGTGAACGAGATTGAGCGTTTCCGGATGAGGCGACTATCTCAATCGTCTCACTGGATGGCGCGGTGAATCGTTCAACAGTCTCAGCCCATTCAACAGCTCTAAAGCCTCACGGAACTCAATTTACGGCCCGTGAGTATCAGACGATTCGCGACGTATCTTCGTTCTCGCCAATCGAGGAGCAGCATGCTGCAAGATGCATTAGACGAGTGTTCCTGGCGAGATGAGAAAAAGATTCGCGGTCTTATCATGGCCTCTCTTTATGCCTCACCGACACAGCTGTTGGATGTTGTAAACAGCTCATGGCCTCAATCTGATGAACTCATTCTGGCCCGCACAGAGCAGCTCTCGGCAAGAGCGTCAGAATTGCCCCTCCTGCCCCTCCAAAACGCCGTAACTGCCACTCTACCCCTTGCCGTGTTCTTTAATTACGCAGCTCTGTTTTGCTTTAATTTATCGATAAGGACCAAACAGAGTTGGATTGAAAACCCCGCTATACCCCCCTCCTTCGTCATTGCTCTGCTCCTCTTCATTCATAACTGACAAACTTTCTTGCTCAATAGACTTTTTCCTTCTACATCTTTCATCTCAACCTACATTTTCTATCCAACCTAAGCTTCACAAACAGCAACAATGGGTGTCCAAGAAGTCCTTAGCCGCAAGACTGGTGTCATCGTCGGTGACGATGTCCTCCGTCTCTTCGAGTACGCTCGCGAGCACAAGTTCGCCATTCCCGCCATTGTATGCCTCAACCATTCAAAAACAACGCAAATCGTCGCAACTAACACAAATATCACAGAACGTCACCTCTTCCTCCACCGTCGTTGCTGCCCTCGAGGCCGCCCGCGACAACAAGGCTCCTGTCATCCTCCAGTTCTCTCAGGGTGGTGCCGCCTACTTCGCTGGCAAGGTATGTTCCTCAACAAATTTCTCAATCGCTTCAACCCACTGACGCACTCTTCAGGGTGTGAGCAACACCGACCAGGCCGCTTCCATTGCTGGCTCCATCGCCGCTGCCCACTACGTCCGCTCGCTCGCTCCCACCTACGGCATCCCCGTCGTCCTTCACACCGACCACTGCGCCAAGAAGCTCCTCCCTTGGCTCGATGGCATGCTCGATGCCGACGAGGCTTACTTCAAGGAGAAGGGTGAGCCCCTCTTCTCCTCTCACATGATCGATCTCTCTGAGGAGCCTGTCGAGTGGAACATTGAGACCACCGCCAAGTACCTCAAGCGCGCTGCCCCCATGAAGCAGTGGCTCGAGATGGAGATTGGTATCACCGGTGGTGAGGAGGATGGTGTCAACAACGAGGATGTTGACAACAACTCTCTCTACACCCAGCCTGAGGATATCCTCAACATCTACAACACTCTCTCCCCCATCTCCCCCTACTTCTCTATCGCCGCTGGCTTCGGTAACGTCCATGGTGTTTACAAGCCCGGCAACGTCAAGCTCCACCCCGAGCTTCTCGGCAAGCACCAGGCTCACGTCAAGGAGGCCCTCAAGTCCGACAACGACAAGCCCGTCTTCTTCGTCTTCCACGGTGGCTCCGGCTCCTCCAAGAAGGAGTACCTCGACGCCATTGGCTTCGGTGTTGTCAAGGTTAACGTCGACACTGATATGCAGTTCGCTTACTGCTCCGGTATCCGAGACTACATGATCAACAAGCGCGAGTACGTCAACACCACCGTCGGCAACCCCGATGGCGAGGACAAGCCCAACAAGAAGTACTTCGACGTAAGTTCTCACCCCATTACTGTATATGTATTACAATGTACTAACACTATGTCTAGCCCCGTGTCTGGGTCCGTGAGGGTGAGAAGACCATGTCCAAGCGTGTTGCCGAGGCTCTCCAGGACTTCAACACTGCCAACCAGCTATAAATGTCGATAAAAGACAATAACTGGTTCTAATGATATCCCAACTGCGACACAATTCATGAGTATCGTTTGGAAAAGAAAAAGAGGGATCTAGAAAATGCCCTCACCTTAGTTCCGACACAACATAGCAGTGTTTAGTTGCAGGGGCGTTACGAGGTGATGAAAGTAGTAAAATTAATGAGGAAAAAAAAATTGATGACGCACAAACAGCCTGAGTGTCCTCTACTACAATGTGTATATGTGATTTAAACTAAAACCACTTTAGCTCGCTAAACTGATATAGGACCTTGCATCAATGGAAATTCTGGAGGTGGATGGATGCGAATTTAGAAAACATGAAAATCATGTCATTAGTCGTAGAACATATATAGCCTGTTAATTATTATACAAACCAACCGTTTGAATTTCCCGTGGTTCGTCGCGGAATGCCTCTTGTATCAGAGAACATTTGCCGAGCGCCGTGTATTCTAACCCATGTCCATGCCCGCCTCTTTTGGTTTAACTTTGCACCTTTATCTGCATGATCTCGGTGATTGTGTATTATGCAGCTCACAATTACCATTTCCTGTTCCTATTTCTCCTATTGTTTTCATATCCTGTTTGGCGTGCCTATCGACCAAGAAGCTCCTTCTCCATCTGGGCTACAGCGTCCTCTGAGAGCTGCTGAGCAGCGCGAGCATCGGCCTTGGTCTTGTCGAATCGCCAGAGACCACCAGTCTTGTCAGCCTCTCCATCAGTAGGTACACCAACGACCTTGCCGAGCTGTTCGAGGACAGAGTCTTGACCCTCAACAGCTGTGAAGTACTGGCGATCCCAGGTTCGGCCCTCTGACTTCTCCTTGGTGCGCATGTTGCGCTGGGCATTCTCAATTTTGCCCTTTTCAGCACCTGTGGTGTCCATGTCACCCTTCTGGATGGCATCAGCAACGCGAGACCAGGCGCGTCGGGACTCGAGAGGGTGCTGTTGATCGATGGGGGCAACTTTGAGCTCAGTTTGAGCGGTGTTGACGGCGTCGTAGGTGCTCACAAGAGTAGACTTGGAGTTAGACTTGGCAGGTCCCGAGTAGATCTCGAGGGCCTTGTTCCACTGGCCAGTGACATTGTAAAGAACATCCTTCTCCTTGCCCGTAGGATAAACGCTGGCGACGATGGTGTTCTTCTTTCCTGAGAGCCATCCCTTGCCGCTATAGTCAATCTTGGCGGTGAAGCCACCGGAACTAGTGATGTGACTTGAGCCATCAAGCTCGACAAAAGGAGCACCAAAAATGAGACCCTCGATATGAAGACCAGGGAGGGTAATGAGGTAGGATTCGATCTCTCCAGATGGAAGAGGAACTCGTAGGACAGCGTGGCCGATCTGCTTGACAATGATGGTGCTCTTGAAAGTGGCCTTCTGAGCATTGTAACCCTCAAGCTCGATACCAGTCTTGTCGTTGCGAATGCAATAGGCGGTAGCAGGAGGATGGTGGCTGACCTGCTCCGAGACAAGGGTGGTCTCGCCAGCTTCGTCGGACCAGGTACCGAGGAAAAGCTCACCCAAGAAAGGGTTCAGAGGCTTCTTTTCGTTTCCAAACTGCTCACTCCGGCTGGCGTACTGGTGCTTCAGAGTCGAGAGGAACCACTTGAGGACGAGCATAGTACGCTTGGCGGGATCAGACTCGGCAGCTGGGGCGGTCAGGACGGGAGGGTGCGTGGCCCAGTACGCAGAGAATTCGGTGAGAGACTGAGAGGACAGGATGAAGGGAGGCGCGGTGAGAGAAGATAGATCGCCATTGAAGGATGCGATGGACTATTAGAGCACGTCGCAAAGACGAGGTCAGCTACTGCCATCACCCATATACGAATCGCTCCAAGCACGCAAAAGCATGGAGTTAGATATCTATATCTACCTTGAGGAAGGCGGTCCAGCTGCTGCTGTTGGCCTGCGCGGCTGGGGCTGTAGAAGAGGACATGATTGTATATTTGCGCCGTGTATAGAAAAGTCGGGGAGTGAAAAGGGAGGGTTTGCGACGGGACAGGAGATTTCGAAGGCGGTCTCGTGTACAGTAGCAGTAGCGTAGCAGTTGACGAGGGGCCGATTGCGGATTGCGGGGTTGTAGAAGCAGGGGGAGGACAGCTAAAAGTTCAGGACGAGCCAGATGGAGCACGCGGGGCCGGCCTGGACTGTGTGATACACTGCAGATTGACGGTTCGATTGGGGTTTACTATTTATTTATCGATGACGGAGGCGACACAAGTTAAGTATTCGATATAAATAAGGGCTCCAAGCTTGGCGAGATCTTGAAATGGTGAATCTAATTTGACCGCCTTGTAGAAGTGGGACTTGGTTTCAAAGCCGAAAGGGGTAATGGGCAGATCAGATAGAAGAGAAGAGTTGAGAAGAGTCAAGAATATGATGAAGGAGAGTTTACTTTAGCCAAATGCTGAGCTTGTATTGCTTTCTTGGCTACAGATCACGAGACCTAGAGACATCACAATTCATCAAAACCCTGCCAGTAGTAGAATTGAGAAGCGCCCATCATGGACTCTTTCGTTGAGCACTGCCTCGCCCATATCCCTCGAGCCTATTACGTCAACACTTGAACGCCGTCATGACGTCCCGTATTCGTATGTATGGGTTGTTAGTGGTTAGGCTGGGAGGTCCCCCTCACTGCTAATGGCGATTTATTAATTAATCTTACCATCACGTCACTTCTCGAATCTTGTTCCAACGCCGCGGTCGTTATCCCTCCCGTGCCGCTTAATCAGTAAGTAATTTCGCATTTCATGGCTTTTCGTATCCGTAACTGTGACTCGGCTGCCTCTCGCTTTTGGTATTGGACATGGGACATTGCTAGGGCTGAAAAGCTTAGCTATTGCACAGCACGTGGATCCGGATATAGAGGAATATGCATGGATTTATACCAACGTGCACATAGCATTCAGCGATACATAACTTGCACTCCGTCCATGACTTTAATTCACTGTTCATGCAAGCAGTTATAATGCATGATACGAACAAACACCAAACATGAATAATATCTCGCCAAATTATAACAATTCTTTTGTGGTATCTCATCAAGCCCAAACCCAAACCCATATTACATACAGAGGATATACAGTTCCGCCGTCCAGCCATTACTCCATCCATTAAATCATAACCTTATCGCCAGGTATTACACCAAAGTCAGTTATACTTCCATCCCTCGATTAACTCTGCGACCTTATCCAGACCTCTTTGCATAGCCATGCCAGCTGGTGTGCCCTGTCGATAACCTCCAGTTCCGTCTCTGTCCTCCCAGGCATCCCACACCGCGTTTGCGTGGTACTGTCGAGCACCCTTCTCAAGCAACATCCTCACACCCCCGATGTGCCCGCGAAGAGCCGCGTAGTGAAGGGCTGTAGCGCCCCGATCGTTCTGATGATTCACGTCAATTCCCTGCTGTAGCAAGAGCTTGAGTGTTGCTTGGTTTGCCGATGCCTGGAAAAGAATCGTATCACCATGTGTTGTTAAAGCGTGCGTATTTGCACCGAGTCGAAGAAGTAACCGGACTGTCGAGATGTGCCCATGAGATGCAGCAACGGAGAGAGGTGTCCGACCAGGGAAGATGGTGCTCTCGAGAGAGGCACCATAGGATACAAGCCGCAGTAAGATCTCGTCTCGTGCGTGCTGAGCGGCAACGTGAATCGGTGTTGTCTGTGGCTCAGGTACCAGATATTCCTTACTGCCCTTCGAAGGGAACATGGATGACACCTGCATACCCGCCCCCAACTCTAGGAGTGCCATGACAAGGTCAACATCGCCCATCTTGACTGCGTGAGAAAGAATGCTCATCCCGTCCGGTCCTACTCGCTCGACATCAGCACCGAGTCTGATCAAGCGAAAGATGCTTTGCGCATTGCCAAGCTTGGCTGCCACGAGGAGAGGAGTTTCGCCTGTCTTATCCAAGATATCAACAGGTGCGCCTGCATCAGACAACAGTTGCAGGATGTGAGGTTTGTCCTTGTGGGCCGCCATATGCATCGCTGAGTATCCAGAGTGTCCTTGAGTGGCTGCTGGATCGGCTCCATGGGCGATGAGATATCGCACGGTTTCGTCATGTCCTGTGGATGCTGCTGCCAGTAAAGGTGTGTTTCCATTGCGGCTGGGCAGATTAGGGTCTGCACCGCTATCTAGAAGAACAGCAGTGATAGCTGTGCAGCGAGAGTTGATGGCCATTGTGAGGGGAGTATGCTCGCGGAGTACGCGATCAACGTTTGCTCCTCGAGATATCAACACTTGGGAGAACTCTTGGTTGCGCATTGCGATAGCCATGTGGAGGGCTGTCTTTCCATCTGGTAATCGCACCTCTAGATCTGCACCAGCTTGTACGAGCTTTGTCGCCGCAGACCAGCGGCTATGCTGAATTGCCACGAGAAGTGGTGTCTGGCCGTTATAATCGACAAGGTTGATATCGGCGCCTGCATCGATGAGAACTGGGAGCGTTTCATCGTCGATGACATCTGAAGCGGCCGAGAGGTGTAGAGCCGAGCACCCATCGTTATCGATCGCATTGACGCGGGCTTTCATGTGAATCACAAGAGTCGCAAATTGTTCCGAAAACCCGCATCTGATCCCCCTCATCAATGCTGTATGACCATCAGTAGTTGGCTCGTCAACATCTGCACCAGCGACGATGAGAAAAGCAGCGATCAGCATATGGCCTTTGTCGAAAGCGCGATGCAGTGGGGAGAGCATTGAACCAGCCAACATTATGTTGGGGTCTGCGCGTTCGAGAAGGATATGAAAGACAGCCGTCTCATCGCTCCGTTCAATGGCGTTGTGCAGTTCATTTGCGGCATCCTTGGTTCGCACGTAATTGACTCCTGGTGGTGGTACAAGTGTATCAAGTAGGATCTGAATCTCGGCAGAGTCACTGACTCTAGGTAACACGACAGATTGTTGGTTTGGCGCTGTGAACTTTCGAGCAAGGCTCCGTAGTGCCTCATCTACTCCAATATCTGGCTCAATCACGCGCCTCCTGTTGTCATTTTCCCCAAAGTTATAACCGGCACTACTAAGAGTTAGCCTTGAACCAGCGCACTTAGAAAAGAAGGTTACTTGCCGCGTCGCAGCATTAAGGAGAGTATGGAGAGACGCTTGGTGAGTGCGCAGCCGCGCAAGGTACTCTTTCAATGCTGCTTCGTTCCAGACGATGATAAGCTGTGGTTCGCTGAGGTGAATGCCGCTGTCCCTATCTGGACCCTTTATGCGTTTCAATGCTGCCCTCAGCTCATGCACATCCTTCGAAACGGAATAGACGAATTCGTTGTTTGACGCCCGAACATTTTCTGTGCCACCTTCAATCGACCGGCTGAGTTCGTGTAACCTGTCAAGCGCATTTGTGATCGCCCGACACTCCTTGGCGAGCGAAGCCAAAGTAACTGGGCTGGTATTGAGACAATTAGAGATACCCCTACATTCCTCAGAAAGTTGCTCGCATATGTCAATCAAATCCTGCAGGTCTGCTTTCTCGACCCGACTCTGAAGTTGATCCATCCTTGGAGAAGAACAAAATTTGGTGGAAGTTGGTCGACTCAGAAATGCCAAAGTAGTACAAGCCACCAAACGAGATCAGACTCGAGCAGGAAACTCGGGGGGTAATGTACGATTTGACAGCTGCAAATACTTCCGTAAGCTTGCGGTTCCTGCAGAGAGCGGACCAAGCCCGTGCTTTCGCCTTGGCCGTGCTGAAATTCGTGCGCAGCAAAGCAAAGCAAAAGGAAGGGTTGAAGCCTCAACTCAAATCGATTCAACGCAAGAGAGTGACGACGGCCCGGGCTCTATTTGCTGCACACCGTCGTCACATATTGAGACCAGGCAATCCACAAAGCAAAGTCACAAGAGGCTAAAGAGGTTCCGAGAAACAGAGCGAGTCGGCTTCTAGCCCGGAAGCAAGCCGTGCGCTGCTGTAGCCTGTAAGCCAACATCCATCCATGGATGGTGATTCCTAGCGTTAGGTGCGTGGCAGTTGGTCCTGTCCTGTCCTGTCCTGGGCGTTGGATCTAGCGCAACCGCTCAGTCATGGATAAGGGGACAAGCCACCCAACTGCTTGGGAATTAGTTGATCAGTACCCAGAACGGCGACAAATAGGGTGCGTTGGTGCTTGAGCCGGCAGATGGGTCTCAACGGTGGCGTCTGCATCTGCAGGTTCGTGAGTCGCTCTCTTTGCGTCTTTTATCCAATCTGGCAGTTACGGAGTCTCGAAGCCTTTTTAGCCTTATGGGGAAGTAAAGCCGCTAGACAGATCCCTGACTGAAGAAATGTGACCGAGTCTGTTGAGGACCTGAGATCCAGTGCAGTCTTGATTATCATGCTCAATCAGCCGTGCTCAGGGAATGCCCCATCGGAGGATTGTACGCAACGCCCAAACGGTGAGGCGTCGATGGTATTAGTATGTCAATGCTTAAATGGCGCCTCGTGGCGGCCCAGTATCCAGTAAGGCGAGAGGCTGCCCGCAATCCATCGCCAACATTGGATCTCCGGAAACCCGTCTGCCCAGTGCGATATGCGATAACTGTCCATCCATTTTCAAGCGTAGCGCGGCTCCATTCGGCGGTGGCTACTTGCTTCAGCCGGCGAAAAAGCAATGCCGATTAGTTCGTCGTAGGCTGATTCAGAAGATGCAGACCCTGGATTTGAAGAGTGAAATTCTGTGCCTCGCCCTGAAAATGCCCCCTTGGCGTCACACGGGTTCCTGGCTTCTCGCCTTGACCCGGGACGTGCATCAAGAGTTCAGTAATAGATTGCCCTCACTCAACTTGTTTCAGCCCCATGAGATGGAGCAAAAGCCAGTCAGCTCGTTTCCAACAAAACCCACACAACAAGTGAAAGATAAGTGTAAGAGTTGCGGATTCGAAGGAAGAGCTTCAGGTACTTCTCGAGACTACGAGCAACCATAATTGAAACTAACTTGAATTAGAATGTCTCGCATTCAAAGTCTAATCCCCTCGTAAACTTTCTCTTGATATCGTCATTGCCTGGGGGCTTCTGTCGTGCAGTGATGGATCGAGACTACCAGGATCAAGCTGGGGGATCTCTGCAAGGATCAAGTGGTCAGCGGAGTCAGAGTTTATCCGGACTTTCCGGATACAAGCAGCCGGACCTTAGCTCCGGCTAACTCTTTAGTTGCGTCACTGAAGTCGAGATAGAACCAACCATCACTCACGATATTTTTCTAACGACTAACGCGACTCGACTCGACTCGACCCTGTTTCAGATCCGTTACGAGCCACGTTCTTGACTTAATACGCTAGCAACTATTTCGAATTTCTAATCAGCTGAACTTAAACATCCGCCCATTCTGGCTGGGATACTCTGGAAGGGTTCGCCGGACGCTCAGAAACAGAGCTCCTCGCGGCCGAAGAATACCATGACTCAACCATCTACACAACCTCAGCTTACTCCACAGTTCTGTTTCTCGTATGGCACTTTGCGAGGTATGTTCGAGTCAGAATTACCGGCTGTTCGAATACCCGACTGACTGTTTTGCTCTCTCTTTTCTTTTCAGACTTTCTTCGACTTTCAAGATCTTCCATCGATGATTCAATCACACAGAATCTGAATGCGCTTGTGACGCCGTCTCGATCCGGATTTGACCCCTCGTCCACCTCGCAGCGCGTACCAAGGCCAACCTCAAAACAGATTGACCCTCAGTCATGCTTAGATTTCAAGGAGAGAGTGCTATTTCCTTCATGGGAGACCCGGACTGAAGTACTAAATTACTGCGCTCTTGTAGCGGCAAGCCCGGACCCTGATGACCCGGACCGAACCATCAGGGAACTAGAGAAAGAACAAGACCGCGATAGAACAGTCGATGAACGATTAGATCCGTATTCCGGTAGATTCTTCCCACGTGAAGCACGTACCGAGCGCCTGGCTTCGCTTGTAAGACAAGAGAGGGGCGTAGAGGGTATCGTACGACATAGAACGTGGGAGGTCGTACAGCAACGATGCGGAGGCGACCCTTTTGAAAGCTGGGAGGACACAATCATCAAATGGAGGAAGGCCCAAAACTTGAAAACGAATGTATAATTTATGATATCACGAAACGGCCACTCAGATCCTCCAACGACCATTGGAGTTCGAAATTTACAAGAGAAGGACTGTAGGATAGGGACTTGCTGTACGATATTGACACCTCTTGTATAACAGTAACATACAATCTTCAAAGAGCCCCTCTAATCTTATGCTAACTTACCTAAACCTCTTCATCAATTAGTATAGACGCCTAAAGCTTTGGTGTCTCTCGTAGCATGCCCCGTGTGCCAAACAGATTAACCAGATGCTAAAATCGATCAGTCATTTCGTGTTTATTCATATTTACTCGTTGAGAGTATACACTCAGTATGGTATCTTGAAGTATTCCCATGAAATTATGGATTGATTCATTCAATACCAGATTCTTTGCCAACTCTCATGAGGCTTCCATGCTGTCATGGGTCCTAAACTGCCCCGCCAAAACCACCAACTCCGCATAACTCAGCAACCCACCGCAGGCAGCCTCCGAGAAATTGCCGGTCTACCGTAGCAATTCCTGTCCACATCATTTCGTACCTAAGTTGTATGGTACAGCACCTTCAGCTTTACACGACATCTCTCCATAATCGCCGGTCAGGGAAGCCGCCTCTTTACCCTTCATTATCCTCCTCTCATCATCTCCTGGCGAGGTTTTTGTCTCGTCAAAGCTTCTCTGTACCCTTTCCTCTCTCTCGCCCACACACCCCTCATTCGATCCTGGTGGGAGCTTGTGATCCTCGCCGACAACGGACGCCGGTCGCAATTAACTAGCTCACGACTTCTTTACGGTCCGAAGACTAGAACTGTGTCCCATAATCACGATGCCGCAGCCTCTTGCCTCTAAGGAGGCCTCGCTCTTCCGCTCCGTTATTCGATACTATGAGGACAAGCAATACAAACGTGGTCTCAAGTCCGCTGAGCTTATTCTCAAGAAGCATCCGAAACATGGAGACACCACTGCGATGAAGGCCTTGATTCTGAACTCTCAGGGCAAGACAGAAGAAGCTTTTGCATTGGGAAAGGAAGCCTTGACCATGGATATGAAGTCGCACATCTGCTGGCACGTGTATGGTCTGCTGCACCGGGCAAACAAGAATTTCGAGGAGGCTATCAAGGCGTACAAGTTTGCTCTGCGACTAGAGCCTGAGTCAGCACAAATTCAGCGCGATCTGGCTATTCTGCAAATTCAATGCCGTGACTATCAAGGATACATCCAAAGTCGAACCGCTATGCTCCAGGCCCGACCTCAAATGCGCCAAAGCTGGACTGCGCTCGCCATTGCTCACCACCTTTCCGGAAACCCTGCTGAAGCTGAGAAGGTCATGAATACGTATGAGGAAACCTTGAAAACGAAGCCCTCGAAATTCGACAATGAGCACTCAGAAGCAATTATGTACAAGAACTCTCTAATTGCGGAGCAAGGAGACTATGAACGGGCACTTGAGCATCTAAACACGGCTGCTAAGCAAAATCTTGATCGATTGGCTGTCATGGAGGCTCGCGCCGAGTATTTTCACAAGTTGGACAAGAAGGAGGAAGCTGCCAAGGCCTACCGGGCTCTCCTTGACCGCAACCCGGAGCACCCCGCATACTACGAGAAGCTCTTGGAGGTCCTAGAGGTATCGGAAGACGACTCCAAGGCTCGTAAGGCTATCTATGATGAATATGCGGAGAAGTCCCCTCGTTGCGATGCCGCGCGCCGGTTGCCGCTGGACTTTTTGTCAGGTAAATCCTACCGAGACACTAGCCAGCCACCAGTACTAACTCGTTAATAGGCGATGACTTCAAGCAGGCTGCTGAGGCCTATTTGACGTTGATGCTTAACAAGGGAGTGCCATCGACCTTCGCTAATCTTAAGCATCTTTACTCTGACTCATACAAGAAGGACACCCTCCGTGAACTGGCCGAGAACTATTTGAACTCGCAGGGTGCTGATTCGGAGAGCAAGGATAAAGGAGAAGCGGCAGCACTGTACTACCTTGCACAGCACTACAACTACCATCTCAGCCGCGACTTGACAAAGGCCATGGAGTACGTCGAGAAGGCAATTGAGAAGGACCCCAAGAGCGTTGATTTTGCCATGACCAAGGCACGAATCATTAAGCATGGCGGAAACATACAAGAAGCCTCCAAGGCAATGGATCGAGCCAGGAAGCTTGATCTTAAGGATAGATACATTAACACAAAAGCAGCCAAGTACCAGCTTCGCAACAACGAAAACGATAAGGCTCTCAAGACAGTTGGGCTTTTCACTCGCGCAGAAACTGTTGGCGGTCCCTTGGCGGATCTTTTGGATATGCAGAGTGTCTGGTTCTTGACAGAAGACGGCGAGGCATATGCTCGCCAAGGCAATGTTGCCCTTGCTCTCAAGCGATTCCAGCAAATCTTCAACATCTTTGAGGTGTGGCAGGAGGACCAGTTCGATTTTCACAGCTTCTCTCTGCGCAAGGGCCAGATCCGCGCCTACATCGATATGATGCGATGGGAAGACCATGTCCGTGATCACCCCTTCTTCTCAAGGGCCGCTCTGGATGCGATTGAAGTTTACCTCAAGTTGGCCGATAAGCCTTCCGCAAATGGTATCAATGGCGCCGATGGAGAGGACGCTGAGGATGCCCTGGCCAAGAAGAAGGCCGCCAAAAAGGCTAGAAAGGAGCAGCAACGTCTCGAAAAAGAGGCTGCCGAGTTACAAGCTAAGCAAGACCCTAACAAGGGCAAGGACAAGGATGGAGAAGTCAAGAAGCAGGACGACGATCCTTTCGGACTGAAACTCGCCGAAACCACCGACCCTCTCGGCGATGCCATGAAGTTCGTTAACCCCTTACTACAATTCAGCCCCAAGAACATCAACGCCCAGTTCGCTGGCTTCGAGGTCTACATGCGTCGCAGTAAGTTTAATACCATGGATAACCAAGTTCTTATTTATTTACTGACCCGTTCTTCTTACAGAGAAGTACGTTCTTGCCCTACGCTGTCTCACAGCTGCCCTAGCACTTGACCCCAAGTCACCCAGGGTGCACGAACATACTGTAGCGTTCGCTCAACTATTGAAGACTGCGACAGACATTGAGCCTAAGGTTCTGGAGGTGCTGAAGGCTGAGTTCAAAGCAGTCGATCCTTCCACGGATCTCGTCAAGTTCAACAACGAGTTCCTTGCTGCCAACAAGGGTAGCCCTAGACACGTTCTCTCCGCCATCAAGGCACAGAGACTGTTGGGCCAGGATAAGGCTAAGAGTGAGGAGGCCGTCTCTGGCATCTTGGATATCCCTGATGTGACCTATGAGGATGCCGTCGAGGGGCTTCAGGTGCTTAAGGGCTGGAGGAGTTCTCAGGTGGAAGCATACAAGAAGGCGGCCCAGGAGAAGTTCCCCGATGTGACGAGACTCGCATAAGGGGGCGTTGCTTACTTTCTTACTTGCTGATACTCAAAAAGTTTGTGGGGGGTTCAGCACATGACATGATGATGCTGAATGACATTGTCCATATAGATAGATGCATGCAACCGAGGCTGCGATTCCGAGGTGTTCCAGTTCAGGTTAGAAAAAGGTTAAGGAAGGAGAAGGAAGGACAGTTTGGCGCAAGGAATGACTCCGAAGATGGCGGGGAAATGGAGTTTTGGGAACATGGGGAAAAGTTAAAGCATCCATCCATCGTGTAGAACAAGCATGCCGCTATCAGCCTCATTGGTCGAGTACATTGGCTAAACAAGAAGAAGCCGTTAATCTCATCGGATGCATCTGGGGAACTGAGATCTTAGTTACGTCGGACGTGATGACAAATCTGAGGTAAGCCCGTAAAGGGCAATAATTCCTTGTGTCGAAGTCAAATCGACGTCTTCAAGATATCTCGTGGCTCCGCGGCCACCGAACACTACAGCTAGTGTGGAGTTGGTGACTATTTCTGGTTGTCTTACCGCGGCACCGTCTGGCAGCTACGATAGCCCCAGTCTTACACTCCACCACGTCAGGCACTGTTGGCACTACTGGTTCTAACTATCAGCTGCCAGCAGGTGTGCGCAATTGACTTCTTTAGGGACCTGGCCAGTCACGAATGCAGGCATTTACAGGGGCTTTAGGTCTGTAATCTCGGATGCGACCCCCCGCAGATCAACAGCCTAGGTTCAACGGGCATCCGCGTAATCCGATTGATCCTAGGAAGCAACTCCTTGCGGAAACATTCCAAAACATACGCTCGTTGTCAGAGGCTTTGGATTGTTGTCTTTCCTTTTTATGTCGCCAGAGCGAGCTGCCCCAGTCCTTCATTTTCTCGATTTTCTTTATCGAATCTATTGTTTCTGTACGCGATCAATCATAGTCGCGACGATCGAACTAACCCCTGCACCCCTCAGCGCTTTAAGGTGTTCGGTATAAAACACAATCGATAAGCTCGCTGACTGACATCAGCTTCAATGAACACGGAGATTGATCGAAAAATGGACGAAGGCATTGGAATGTTGCTCCTCTTGGAGGATAAGAAGAAGTTGACCATTGGAATCGAAGAACTGGAGCTCAACGGTGCGGATCTCTTGGAGAAGACGTGACGCCAAGTCCTCGACTGATCATTAACAGACCCTGCTGCAAACAAGTCAACTCGCTCCTCCTGTGCTCCTTTCTCTGGCAGTAAGAACTCAGAACTGTGATACGACACAATATGGAAACACTTACTGATCATGCTTCTCTACAGAACCCGCTCCCAAGAATAGCATACCCTTCTACAACGTCCTCTGGGCCGAGCTCTCCAACGACCAGATCACAATCGACTACGCCCATCACGCTTCGAAGACATTGATCAAACCTAAGAAATGGGTTTTCACGCTTGCGAAGGACGACGAGTCGACCAGCGGTACACCAGCCGAGATCTTCGTCAAGACCCTCATGACACGCGCCTACGGTAATGCGCAGTCTCAGAAACGCGCCTACGTGCTGATCAACCCGAACTCTGGTCCTGGCGGTGCTATCAAGCAGTGGGAGACTGAGGTGAAGCCGCTCTTCCAGGCTGCAAAGATGCAGATTGACCCCGTGATATTGAAGCACGGTGGAGAAGCCGTTGAACTGGCGCAAAACGCCGACTTGTCCAGATACGATACCATCATGGCATGTTCCGGTGATGGAACGCCACACGAGATTTTCAACGGCCTTGCTAAGCGACCCGATGCTGCGAGAGCGCTTTCTACGATGCCTGTCAGCCATATCCCTTGTGGCTCAGGAAACGCATTCTCTTGCAACTTGTACGGATCTCATCGACCTTCTTTCGCTGCCCTTGCCATCATCAAGGGTGTCGTGACCCCGATGGATTTGGTGTCAGTCACTAGTGGCCACAACCGCATCATTTCGTTCCTGTCCCAAACGCTCGGCCTCATTGCCGAATGCGATCTCGGCACAGAGCATATGCGATGGATGGGTAGTGCGCGTTTCGAAGTCGGTGTCGTTCAGCGCATGTTTAAGAAGAAGTGTTATCCCTTTGACCTGGCTGTCAAGGTGGAGATCGAAGACAAAGGCGATGTCAAGGCTCATTACAAGCATCACGCGAGCTCCACGAGCCTGAAACATCTAGCTAAGAAGCTTGATGCAGACCCTGTAGCTGATGATGTAGGTTTGCCGCCGTTGAAGTATGGCACGATCCAGGATGATCTCCCTGAAGGATGGGAGTTGATTCCCTATGACAAGGTTGGCACATTCTACGCCGGTAACGTGAGTAATCAAACTAGCCCTTGCATTTGGAATAATACTGACTGTCACAGATGGCTTATATGTCACCCGATGCTCCGTTTTTCGCTGCCTCACTCATCTCAGATGGTTTGATGGACCTCGTTACTATCGATGGTGACCTGCCTTTCTTCACAGCCATTAAGGTCCTTCTCGATGTTGAAGCCGAGAAACTGTTTGACAACCCTCATGTCACCTACAAGAAGATCTCAGCTTACCGCATCATTCCTCGCGATCAAGAGGATGGCTATATCAGCATCGATGGTGAGAAGTGCCCATTTGGACCTTTCCAGGCCGAGATCCACCAGGGCCTTGGGCGAGTCATCTCCAAGTCTGGCAAGTATGAGGCTGCGGGACCCAAGAATTGGGACAAGGTGACACTAGCAGACCGCATTCATGGATGAAAAGAGGACATGAAATCGGATGTATGACGTGTTGAAATGGTGGTGGTTAGGGAAGCAGATGGAAAGAAAGGCTTCTTGGCGATAATGATACCCACGTAAAAGGATGTGCACATAGCAAGACTTCTAGAAGTAGCAATTTTAATTCAGTGATTTGGTTTTGATTCAGGATTTCTTTTGAACCACCGATCTGTAGTAGCTATTCTCCTTTTCGGTATAAGTTTGGTACTGTAGCATGCAGCAATTGGCTTTTCGATGTGACGATTGAGGAGAGAAAATACATTAGTCTTTCTAGATAGCATCGTCCCTATTCACTTGATAGAATCACAGCCCTGAATTATTCAAGGCACAATCAAGTCCTTTAGCTTTCCACCCTCATCATTATGATAAGCTGAGATGGACGCAGGAACCAACAGTGGATCGCGGGGTCCTTGAAAGCTACCCCACTGTCAACCTCAAGTCTTCACAGCAACTGACTTCATTCAACCTCTATTATATTCAACAAGACTCTGTGCCCCGCACAGCGCAACAAGGCTCTCAATTCTATGCACTCGAGGCTCAAGGCATTGTATTTCTAATCAAAGTTCTTTTCCGGCACCGAGAGCAGCTCCTTTGTGCATGATATGGCTCGTCGAGGTCGAGGTAACAAGATGCCATCAGGCCCCTGGGGGAGATTGAAACCTGTCGAGCAGGACCCGCTACAAAGTATTGGTCTTCCTTCTAAGGGTGATGACAGGTGTGTATTAGACGGTCAATGCTATATATAGACACGCGAGATTGATCACTTTCAACAAGACAAGAGAGACGGGCTGACCAGAGACAGCTTACTCAACCCCAAGACCCAGGAGTGGTATTATAATCAGATAATTTCACGTTTCCTTGCTTTCTGCACGGAAGCCGGTGACAAGGACTCAATTATACGGAGTTTCGACGCTCTAGATATAAGAGCAGTTGATCCAACTCCTGCAACACCATATACCAGACCTCCACCTGGATACAGACCGCCTTCCACAGCAACTTCTACAGCAGCGTCATCTTCAACGCCAGCCCCTGAAACTCCAGCTACAAATGCTAGTGGTTCTTCTCAAACTACTGGCTCAGATTCTGCCAATGCTGTCACATCGCCAGCGTCCTCTGCCCTGAGTGGCACATTGAAAGCCCTCCGTTCTATCATACCGTCTAGTGGACCATCAACCTCGATGTTGGCAGCTATTGAGGACCCTGACAATACTAAATATCTGCAGGATGTCCTGATGGCATTGAGAAAGCTTCGAGAAGGCTTGGTGGCTACAAAACGAGCTGATCTCTTCTCAATCCAAGCATACATCTTCTCCATCCGCCTGTCCATTCTTGCAAAGCATCCAGAATCATACCATCCGGCAATTCTACACCTTCTCCGATACATGGCTGTATGGACACCCATGGTTAATAGTGAGATCGAGGAGATTGCCGGTTACTTCATGCTGGATGCCGCATGTCGGCGTAGGGACCTGACCGAGGCATATTTCATCAGACAAGACTTCAATATCAGGAACAAGAAACTGGACCGGATACTCAAAGCGCTGGCACACGACGACTATGTCTCATGGCAGTTCTCGAAGAAACAAGTTAGCCGACACTGCTTGAAGTTGATGGAGTGGGCCGACGACGATTTGAGACTTCACACCCTGAAATGCTTTTCAAGGTCGTACTTCAACGTGGATTTGCCATTTTTGGAGTTTGCTACTGGTCGCAAGTGGGATGAACTGAAAGAGAAGGACAAGGTCGGATGGGAACTTGGCGATGAAGAAAAGGTCACCATTCGGAAAGTAAGAGCGAAGTGAAAGTCTTATCCCAGCGTTGGCACTTTCCTCAGCAGCTGGTGGCAGGGGCAAGCAGTGTCTGGTTCGAGGAACCCACTTATAACTCTTTCCGTTGCTTCAATTCTAATGTACAGCGTTTCTTGTCGCGATTTCACTCTTCAATTGAAGCTTCGGCCTCTACTGCCGTTTCTTGAATACCTTACCTGACTGAATGATGGATCTCAACCAGCAGATTATTACTATGGCCTCCTATACACCTCTCGCGAAGATCTGGCAGGGCCCTGTTATTCTCTGCTCTCCAGTAAGGCAAATTCTGATAAAGGTGACCCGACGGAGACCCTGTTGGACTGAGAATTGGCAAGTTGCATAGACCATGCCTCCTTACCTACTAATAAATAAGCAGTACCGACCTCGGGCCCGTAGGTTGTGTTTGTTTTCTTCCACCAACCTGACCCCAGCAACCACAACTCAACATCGCGAACTCACTTGGCGACCAAGGTATTTTGGAAGTGCAGACACTTTTAATGAATACTAATATTATTTCGACTTTAGTTAACTTGAACATCGCTGCGAGCGATGGATAGCAACATCAAACCACAGCTTGCTTCACAACAAGATTCTGCTCTCTTCACCTTCTCTGCATCACTTGCAAAGTGAAAGCGCACTCGACAGAATTCCCTTTTGATCCTCACGCACCCCACTTAAGCAAATCAACTCCTTCCGACATCGCCATGGCACCTCCGCGAAAGAAACCCCGTACTCGTGCTGGTCCTAAGGACGACCCTGCCGATGAGCAGTCTGCTGGCATCCTCGCGGACTTTCGCACCTCCTGGCTTCTTAAGTATGCGCATCTCTTTCACCTCAAGCTCAGAGGCCATTCCAACCTTGCGCTGGGGAATAAGAGTCACTGACCTATATGCATGCACAGGAATGATGAGCAGCTAGTCGAGCTCAAGGTGAAAGGCGAAACCTTTCAAGTCGCCAAGAACGTCCTGACCAAGAACTCGGAGTACTTCGAAAGCTGTCTCAACGGTCGCTTTGCCGAGGCCAAGAAGGGAGGCGTTGAATTCAATGACGAGGACATCGAACCGCGATACCTCGCTCTCTACATTGGGGTCGCCTACAGTCACTCCTCTATTGTCCTACATGCGCATCCCCGTCCTGCCCAGAGTCCCGAGGCAGCACCTATCAAGACTCCTATGCGAGACTATGTCGAAGTCTACAAGCTTTGCGACCGCTTCATCAGCCCCAGCATGGGTGAATTCATTGCCCGCTGCATCGACGTCGCCATCGGCAATGGGCACCGCGCCCTCTACCGTACCGAGGCCGACCAAGGAACGCAGAAACTACTCATGCGCGACTTTGCCGACGGCTACGAGGCGCTTAACATGCAGCACAGCTCCCAGGCTGAGCTTGGCGACCGGATGATCACCTACTTCTGCGAGGGGGTCAGCTACAAAGCTTGGATTGAGACCATGGAGGAGCTTCGCGATCGTCCCAAGTTCATTGGCCATGTTTCTCGCGGCTTCGCGACCAAGCTTCAGGAGCTTCAGGTCGGCCGCAAACTCAAACGCAAGGAGTGGGCTGGACCTGGCGTTGCCTAGGATGACAACGTTCGCGGTGGGAGAAGAAGACGATGAGCTGCTTCGGGAGGAAAGGTATGGTCATTCGAGAAAAGTTCTGGTGACGAAGAATACCCAAATGTTGATATGATGATGATGCCAAGGGTAAAGATATTTGGAACCATTGCGAAGGATGCATGGAGATGCAGCGTTACCAGTCGTTAGCAAGCAAGTGAAATGAGACTTTTCAAGAACATGTCATGATGACATATCCCGTAAAAGAATTCAATTGGCATTGCCGTAGTTGCCTCTGCAGAGCTTCATGTTCAGTGGTTCGGGGTATTGATAGTTGGTCGAGATATATATCTCATGATTGAACAACATCGGGACGTCGCATAAATAGATTGGCGAGCCGATAAGGGATATGATTGGCGTGCCTTATTTTGAAACTCAAACTTCACATTTAACTAGTTTGCTATCTGGCTGATTTTCAGTTGACATGTTGTTTATTGCTTGGCTATTGTTTGTTTATTTCCTAGATATTCAGGCCCATCTCCGACACTCTCTCTTATCAGATTTATCCAACCACCTCCGCGGCAACAAATCAATTCCCTTACTCATTGAACTGAGGTATTTCTCGGCTTAAAACTCAACAACCTGGCCCAGACGAAAAAGTCTTCTCGTATCGTCGTCGCATGAAATCGCGGAAGATTACCACCGGGATGAACGAGGACGTAATGGACATCAATCACCGCGCATGGGCAACGTCAGAGACAATGTCCTCGGAAGTGTTCCTCTGAGCTGATAGGGGTTCTTCGGGCCAGGGACCGGCTAAGTCGTCGGGAGTGGGGCCTTCGGGGGTGCTGATGGTTGAGGGATCGGTCGGGGCTCATTAGCCGCCGGGAAACCTCGGCCTGTGATCCAGCGAGGCTCATGACGTTTTGGGTTGAGTTGAATGTGAAAATTCAAGGCGTGAGCATGTGCGACTGGGCGACGACACACAAAACAGGTAATCGAGGAAGAACACAAGAACAAGACATGGTGTGTAAATGAGAGAATGATTGTGACCTGTAAAATGGGATATTCCTATACCCAAGTAGTGTATTGCAGTGTAGTGTAATCTTTCATACAGCAAATCTGTCCCTAGGTCGTGTGAGATAAATCTGTAGACGAACAGTCTAGTGTTGATGAGATAAATGTTGGACCCTGAAAGCCAACCAGGTGAATTGTCCTTTCAAACAATAATCCCAAGCAAGATGGTATTCCTTTAAACGCCGTTCCAATGCAGTATTTCAAGGCTTTAGGTGGTCGTGAAAGCCATACCAGTAAACTCCGACACATCTCCGGGGGAGGTATCGCCGTCGCTTCAAGCAAATAAAATGAGAGAAGGGTGTTGTAAAGCCCGACTTTGGTGTTTTGTTTTTTCTGATTTTCTTTGTTTCGTCCTTGGATGGATTCATTTATCGTTTCTCGTAATATTGAACGGCCTTTTCGAGTTCGTCGAGACTTGATCGATCACCGTACATATTCATGAGAGCCTCATTTCGCTCCCGGTATGCGGCATTCTCGCGCTCCATGGCTTCCATCTGAGCGATACGTCGTCTTTGGGCCATTTCGAGTGATAGCTTTGCTCCGTAACCAATAGCCACAACAGCCGCGACGGGCTTGACCCTGTAATTGATGGTCAGCGTGTGGTGTCGTGTGACACTGAGTATATGACACTTACAGCTTTCCAAAGGACATTCTCTTCTGGGGACGAAGGTGGGGAACAATGTTGGGATGGATACGGGCGGCAGTGGAAAAGGATTGTCGAGGAACACGCATCATTGTGAAGGAGGAAGAGGAGGAGAAGGTTGTATGAAGGTTTGCGTCTGTTTAGGTCTCGGCAAGGGTGGCAGGTGAGGCAAGGTAAGGTAAGGTGAGGTAAGGCAAGTTAGATGTAACTCGGTAATAGTAATCCGTACTTGAACTAGTCTATTGATGGGAGGAGGAAACGGGAAAACCGTTGGGGGAAGAACAGAGCGGAGGAGAGCTATTATAAGTTGTCACTCCTGACAATTGTTTCAAGTGAGAAATGTGCCAGCTGCCTTAGTCTATGTGTTGCTACGTCGAGTGCATCTCCGGCTAGAACCCCGGACTTGGACAATACCTTAACGAACTGGGGTCATGATCGAACGACAAGACGCCCTGGGGATGGCGGCGATGGGCGATACCTAAGGTACCTAGAGACTCGAGCCTTGAAGTTCAGACACAGGCTGTGGGGCGGGGGTGCGAGTGCGCCCCCCCAGAGAGAGAAGCGGCACAGAAGCCGATCAGCGATCAGGTGCCTGGAGCCTTAGGGGATGACCTCCCTGTAGAGCAGTGGAGGATGCCCAAAAGCGTAAAGGTACACGCTCTGGGTGGTGAAGTGGGGAAAGCAGTGGAAGGAGCGGGAGGGAAGTGAGTGGGCGTTTAGTGTTAGCGTGTGGCACGATGCGGGATGAACTTGAATTATGGCGGGGTCGGGAAGGATTGTATTGGTTGGAGTTTTTTGGTCTTGTTCTCGTTCACTGGCTTGTGCCTCATGCAGTTCCAGAGTCGATTATACTGTAAAGAGAATTGATGTGTTGTTGATTCTTTGACCGACAAGATTGAGGCCTACTGAGCATAAGCAGGCAAACGCATGGAATTGTTGGAATATTCACGATAACTTCGCAATGAAGCCATTCTCGGCTGGAGTCGGGTCTCACATTTTCGTTGTCACTTTCACTTTCTGGCATCTGCCCCAGATCCAATCTTTTTATTCCGCTGAAAAACATTCGACCAAGGTAAAGCTCCCACCAAACAACGGCACCTATCCACGGCCAACAGTGGGGGCATACCCTCAAGTCTCACCACCATGACCTCACCATGGCCTTTCTTTGGGGGTCGAGTGGCCTGGTCATTTTTCCAATACTGAGATCCATTGTCCCCAAATTATAATGCTGGCTCTTGTATGAAATCTCCTGTTTTCTTCTTTGGCTGGACCTATTGCTGAGTTGCAGTTGACCCTCTCCCCGATTTTCGTGGCACCACCTTCAACGTCTCCTGCATCTGCATCTGCATCTGTTGTACATCTCAACTTGATGAACCTCGCCCCGTCTCTAATGCTTCATTCTCACACCACCAGACACGGCGAGACATGCGTTTCTTCTATTTTCTTTTTTTCAATATGCGTTTCTGTGTTGCACCCTTTCGGTCACTTTCCGCTTTCCCCGCATTTCCTCTCTGCACGGCATCTCTTGTTTACCTTGCATCAGATTGTGTCTCGTGTTACGGATACAGGAACACGTAGCTGAAGACGCGTCTCTTGGACTGCTGCAGAAGCTGTCTAACGTTAAAACACGGCGCCTGCGCATACAGCCCTTTTGAGTAAAGTACCGTTTCCCCGCGTCCTCCATTTCACGCGATACAGCACTTGGCTAATTTCCTTCCTTGGATATAAATAATACTATAATCCGCCAATCATACGAATCGGACCCCTCTCAAGACCTTCGTCTTGCTGCTCAGGCATTCACAACTGACTGCTCAGCCCGCTACAGCAGAGAATGAGGTAACAAAAGCTCCTTGCAACAAAATGTAACAAACCAAATACTCCTCTTTTGCGCCGTATCCGCATTCATTCATTTGCATGTCTCTTGCAACACTTTCAGCCTCATTCGGCTCTGCACCCGTTATGGAGAATTCAAGGGTCCAGGCTCCACGGCCCAGACAATTACCGGCTCCACGCAAGGTCATGACCCAGTTCTTCTCGGCAACAGCTTCATCTTTCAGGTGTGGTATTTCCATTCCACAATCACTTCGTGAAGCCTCGGGATATCAAGACATCGACTCTTTCTGACTCTCTTGTGATAATCTGGCAAGCACATACTGTGTAACCCCGCGTTTAAGATCAACATCCTCCGCTAGGTTGCTACCTTTCAGCCTTTATTATTGGCTGATATACTGACTATCCCCCACGATGTGTGCACTCACGGACGCACGCCATCATTTCATCGATTCAAGACTGGTCTCAGTTTGTGTGAAATGTTATTTACGAGGAGAACACAGCAGGCGTATTCTCTTTTCCTCTCTGAAACGGAGGTTCTGCAACCGAGTGTCTGTCTCCATAATCCGGACCGGTAGTTACATGCCTCTTCCCGGCATGATTGAGATCAAGACGGCCCGGTTACTATGCAGAAACTGAGCAAACGGCCCTTGCATGTCGAGGCGAGCGGGCTTTGAGTTTCAATGGGCTTCACTCTTCGCTTCAATACCAACGCATTGAGGTCGTAGCAGTGTGGGTTGCAGCATAAAGACACATATTAGGTATCAAGCTGAACGAGGGCTTGGCTAACAAGAGCGAAGCTCAAGGAGACACTGGCCAGGTATACGACCATCGAGTGGATGAGAACGGGTATGTAGTCCATAGTGATCCTGTACTATCCATGTTGTAACCCCACGTCTATAAGCCAGTTTGTTAGTGTGACCAGTACATACGACCAAAGGTAGTGGAAAATACGGGATCCCGTCCGCTCTCCCATAGTCAAGCCACTAACCGGCGGATTAGTAGTTGGGTCGGTGACGACCAGCGAATCCCCGCTGTTGTATGTTTTTTGCTATTTACATATACTAATTCTACACTTTGCTTTCGAACTGTCAGATAAATCGTAGAAAGTGAGGAGTTTTGTTTTTGTAACACTTGCTTGACAACTGGCTAGGCTACGAAAGATGGCCCTTGTGACTCTGACTCATCTACCCAACTCCATGTCATCGCTACTAAACAGCTTGTATGGAACCTCCAGGTAAAAAGTTAAAGATGGAACAAGGTAAGACGGTCTAGGTACTAGGCGCGTATTTACAAACACAAGTCTTGACCGGTTTGTTGATTCTTCGCAATGTCTTCGTCGAAACGGGCTCCCAGCCAAGCAACAACGATAGATTTGTTACCAGCTGAAGAATTGCTCCGCGATCTTCTGCTTGAGTGCCGACAGCAGTTGGCGACGCCAGAATTGGAGGTATGGATAACTGGTGGCTGGGTGAGAGATCGACTTATGGGCATCCACTGTTCCGACTTGGATATCGCTCTTAGTACCATGTCAGGTGTGCAATTCGGCAATCTTCTGACAGAGTTCCTCGAGCAGAATGAAGCCTCCTACCAACAGCGAGCATTAGACTTGGGGATTGAGTTCAAAAAGTTCAATGGCTTTCATTCAACCAAGAAGAATCTCGACAAGTCTAAAAAGCTAGAGACTGCTGTTGGAAGAATCTTCGGCTTGGATCTGGATCTTGTCAACCTGCGCAAGGAGGTATACGACGACGATTGTCGTACTCCAGAAATGGAGTTTAACACCGCCGAGGAAGATGCATTCAGACGTGACGCAACTGCCAATGCCCTGTTCTTTGACCTGCAAAACCGAAAGGTTGCCGACTTTACTCGCAGAGGCCTGGATGATCTGTATGCTGGCATAATGCGAACACCACTCGAGCCGAGGCAGACCTTTCTCGACGACCCCTTGCGTGTGTTGCGTCTCATCCGCATAGGCAGTAAACTCGGTTTCACTCTTGATCCCGAGGCTCTGAGCTGCATCAAAGAGCACGAAATTCACGTTGCTCTAGACGAGAAGGTCAGCCGGGAGAGAGTTGGGATTGAGGTCTTTAAAATGATGAAGAACTGGAACCCTGAGCTATCCTTTTCCTTAATCCACGAGGCCAATCTTTATAGAACTGTCTTCCTGTCGTTGCGCTCTCCTCTACATGAGCCCCTCCGTCATCTCCTTTCCCCAAGAACCTGAAAAGCCATGGCCCGCCACTTGGTCTCGGGCAATTAACGCTATCACGACCTTAGCGCAGGATCCAGCAAGGGATTTTTGGGCTTTGATGGAATCTGAGAAACAGAAAGACATGCTTTGGGCGATGGTCGCCTATGCTCCGTTAGCAGAGCTAGACACCAAGGACCATAAGCTTGCCGTTGACGAAGCTATCAATGCCCTAAAGGGCACCAGGCAGCTTTACAAGCTTATAGAATCGTCGCTAGGGAACTTGGAATCTATTCGATCCACCATGGAACTGGTTATCGGCTCTACTCCGTCCCGGGGCATGATTGGGATGATGATCCGAAAATGGGGAGTCTTCTGGGGCCTGCAGGTTCTTTTCTCAGCTCTTGGGGAGACAGTTTACTTGAAACCACAGCCGGAATCTCCAGACCCGAATCAGGAGGAAATCGATAAAGTTTTACGGAGACATGAAGCCCTGCTCTCATTTGCCCAGAAACAGAGGCTGAATTCGGTTTCGTCAATAAGGCCAATCTTGGATGGAAACGCCATTAAAAAGGCTCTCGGGGTCAAGCAAGGAGGGAATTTCCTTGCCAGGGCGATTGAAGTCCTGCTTGAATGGCAACTTGATCATGAGGAGGCAGACGAAGCAGCGGCTGAGGCATGGCTTCTTAGCCAGAGGGATAAACTAGGCCTTCCAATAGCTGAAAGCAAACGAATTCCTCGACTTGACCATCCGACTCATAGGGTACACCTTTCCAGCACCCTGCAAGTTGCTCCGACCATCTTGTAGCTTGGAATGCACGAACAGCATGGTCGGACCTTGACCAGAGGTCTAGCTATGCCCCTTGAATGACAAGCTAGTACATCTCAGAAAAACTAACAGTGTCAGATCTGACTTTGAGTCAGGGTAACCGGCAGCGAACCCACTTAGACTTTCAGTTCAGGGCCCTTTCTAGAGTACCTTGGTCTTCTGGTGCAAACTTTCGTTGTTTGTTTCTAGGGGCTTGCTGAAGTTCTCTGGATCCAAGACTTACGAGACGCCATGTCGGCCAGCCAGATTTTAGGTTGCGATTGCGGCACGTATGGAGGTAGAAAGAAACAGCCCAGAGTGAAGGCCGCGAAGACGTTGAGACAGAGGAGAGAAAGGAGGTGGCAGGGCATAGGCAGTGCAGCCAGTCTGGTGAACTGAACCTCAGTCAATGGTTGACTGTTACCCTGAACCTATATGTCGAGACTTGCAAGTATCAAATAATACCATTGATAAAGAAAGGACAAGATACCTAAACTCATCTATCTTTTGTGCCTATTAAATGGTCTCCTCTAAAACCCAACCATCTCATAAATGCATCAGTCTATCCTCTGCATATCCTAGAAAACACTTGACAGGCCTATAAACATCATCGCACTGACCAATACCTCCAAGATATCCCACCTCTTTATAGACCTCTTCCTCCGACATGTCTAGCTGATCTCGAGGATAGAAGAACTCGCCATTGACAACTTCGTCGATTTCCTGTAGAGAGTATTTGCGTAACCAATCGTCCCAAACTCGATCCCAAACTAGGTTCGTTTCGGTTGTACTTGTGTGCAAACAACCTTCTCGCCACATCATCTTGTAGTTGAGAAGCACGGCAGTAAGAAACTCGGTCGCTGTTCTACTGGAACCGAGCTTCCAAGATTCTGAGCGAGATGTCTTTTGCTGTCGCCATATTTCGCACCAGACGAGAAAGCGTAGGATGAGCTGGCTAGGAGTCCATTGCTTCATGTCTTCGGTTTCAGGGACGATGTATTCGTGGATAGCCTCAATCCTCGCTGCCGTCTTGACCCCAAACATGAGGCCCTGGAACACTGGCTGAACTGCAACCAGAGCTCGACTGAATTGGCGATCAGAGAGCTTGAAGCCCAGCAAGTTGTACCATTCCATGAAATGCGAGAATGCAACTCGGACAGGGGGAGAATCCACGAAAGACAATATCTCTAGGGCCTTACGCTTCTTGGCCTTGCTGTCCTCAGGGGCAAAGAGCTTCGTGACCATGGCATTAGCAAAGTCGTGAAAGTATACATCGGCATGCAATTCCTGAGAGCTTTTCGGGCGGTTCCCAAGGTAGAGAACGGGGTTTGTGAAGATGACGAATTCGTAGTCGCACTGCTCTTTGTTGCACCAGCTGACGGATGGATTTCCTCTCCCTCTGTCAAATTGACGATGAATCAAGCCTCGACGCATGAGTCGTGAGCGGCGGAGAGAGCGAGAGATCTGCCTAGTGTGAAGACCACCAGATCCGTTATAGGGAGTGTTTTCGCACACACGGAGTAGATACTTCATGCATACTTCTGCGCCAAACCGGCCTTGGGTGGCTTTCTTCTCCCTAACGGGTTCAACTCTGTCTCTGAGGCCATCCAGGACGCCTGATTTACAGTCAGGAGGCGATGGAGGCGACCCCTGAGGGTCGGCTGGAGGTTCGTTGATGTTACAGTCATTCTCCGGTTGTTGAGACCCATCGTGGTGGCCATCTGAGGCATCCGACGAGACGGGTTCTAAGTTAACATGAGTAAACGATGGAGATGAAGGGATAGCAGAGACGGGACATGATAAATTACTTGAGTGCTCCATAGTTGAATACAGAAATGAATTTGACAATATTAATAGCAGGGGAAAAGTAAGCGACAGAGTCGCGAACTCCCAGGAATGGAGGAAAAACTTATATAACCGCCATTGCTCAAAGTTCATTTCGAGTTACTTGTGACCGTTCGTTTAACACCCAATGCGAAACGAAAGTCTGCAAAGCATTGTTCCGAGCTCTTCTCAAAGAACAACGGTGGACAAAGAACGCCGATATGCTCACAAAGAACCTGAGCCTGGTCAGCCCCCGGGTCACTCCTGTGTGTCAAAGAACAAGGAGACAGCCAGATATAGAAACTGACGTAAAATGTGACATGATTTATTTTCATGTTTAAGTAAGCTCAAGGGGAGGCGAGTCACTGCCAGGAGCAGATTGGAGTAAAAGTGATGAGCTCAACGTCCAACTTGCATCTAGATACCTCCCTTGCAACGAAGTTCACTTGGCTGTTCAAAATGATCACCACAAGAACTTCCTGCACTTCTTGCTTCCGCATAGACAACGAGTCATATGATCGATGTCGCCACCCGTTTCCTCTCCCTCGTGTGAAACCCCATCAACATAGTCAAATGTAAGCTCCTCACCCTCAGGTATGTCCTGGATTGCGAACAAGGCAAGATCGTGAATATGCTTGTCAGCATGATCACCCACGCGCGCAAAGATTCGCATGTTGGGGTCGCATGAATGATTGACGAATCGCGTCGGGCCAGACATGAATTCACCGTCTACTTCAAGGGATGGGCCCTTTAACCGATGGTCAAACGACTCGGAGTCTGTGAATTTGTCGAGAGCAAATAGGTAAACATCCTTGCGTTGAGAGATAGCAGACTGTGAGCGCCGTCGATCTGCTTCATTGGATGTGATGATCTCACCGAGATATCGGTCGACGAACTGGCCTTTCTTAATTGACACGGGAGATCTCACTCCTTTTTTTTTTTAGTCAGTGAATTGTTTGTTAGTCAAGATGAGAATGACACTCACCCCATCCGCGGTCTGGTGTGCGGAATATCTCCAAAGGAATCGTTCTGCCACGCTCGACGACGCGGTTTGGGCAGTCTATACTACAGGAGCAGCTTTGGTGACACTCGTAGATAGGCATCTTTGAGTTATGGAACTTGGACCGTAAAAGACCGGCCTTTGCGCCGTGGGAGTGGTATGCATATGCTATTCTCCGAGGTTTTGGTGTGGCTCTCTCTATCTTGTCCCCAAAGGCATCGAATCCCTCTTCATCGCTGGAATCGTCGTCTTCTAAATCGGCGAGACAGTGACAACTCGTGTATTGGCACTCTGAGTCCTTGGCGCAGGAGCAGCCGCTGCGGAAGCTATCACCAGCTTGCTCAACTCCTTTACCAAGGACGACGTTGTTTATGAATCTAAAGTCATCAGGAAGTACCTCATTGTCTTCTTCGTTAACAACTGTCACTGGGAGTGTTGAATGAGTCGGAAAAGCGCGAATCTGACACCAGTGACAATTATTGCGCTCTACTTCATAGCCCTGCAAGTTGGATTAGTCATAGCCATAGCTGATATGAGATTGGGCGAGTACGTACCTCTTTACCGTGGAAGTAGAAATGGCGTTCTGTGGCCTTTAGCATCGTAGCCATGTTGATTGTGCTGTGTTATTAAAGAGGATGGGTTGTTTGTTTTGGCTCAGAGACGGTGTAATGCTGCGTTGATGGTGAGAAAGTGAGACAAAGAAAATGGAAGGTGGAAACATGTATTATTGAATGAAATTAATGATCGTTGTTTGAGAATAGTAAAAAGGACACAGATTATTCATGTCTGGTGTAAGGCAAAGATCTCGAGCTTGAAGAGTTAGAGCCCACGGTGAAGCACTGAAACTGAGTTGGTGGGTGCCTGTCAAGTACAAGCCACATGCTGATTGGCCCCTACATCGGTGAATGTCAAGGTGAGCACCATGGATGTTTTGCAACTGGACTTGAGTATAGAAAGCTTGCTGAGGATTCCTCCTGCAAAAATACTGTCTTGGACGTTGAATGGTCTTATCTAGGAGTTGATAGAGATTCTCTTGATCTGTGAATTGACAAGTAGTCAAGATTAGGTAGATGGCGGTGTTTCACAGTAAACAAGGGCATTCCTGGAAATGGCGATGGTGTTACATCTCAGAAGCACGAGATCTATAATATAGTCATTAGTATAATCAACCAGTGACTGCTTTCACCGTGTACAGTGAGTGAAAGGCAAGGTTCCCCTCTGGGAACCCCTGGTCTGTTCATACAAAACCCCACTGACGAGACTCAACTTGGTGATACCTACAGAGACCTACAGCAGTAGACTGAGCCATCGATGAATTGTCCTGTCATTACGAGTACCTCGAGTTTCTTGGCTGAAGCCATGGAGGCATGCACCAAGCTCTCCATCACATCGTGTGCATCATACTGCATAAAAAGGCCGCGTCTCCCCCGTTATATGACTGATGACTTGAGCTTAATCTTTCGTCACATTCACCAACAACTGTGAATTGATCCCTGTCTGGCCATGCAATGATCAGCAATTCATTGACTGGATCAGAACAAGCAATTGAGTTGGATCTTGGAATTGCTGCTCGCGTTAATTCACATTTCACCTCTCCTCTTTTACTCAGCTAAGATTTAACTTGATCACCTGAACCAAATAAAGATTAACGAACAAGACAAGGACCCTTTCTTATTCTTCTTGGTCTTGTTCCTTTTTTTAGGCTTTAAGTTTGTCCCACTTTTACGCCTCCCCCTGGTCTGCTCTAGCCTGGTCGGGTCTGTCCAGGCCGTGACTTTTGGTGGGAAAGCCCCCAAAAGGAAGAGTCGATAAGTTCGGCGACCCCAGAAGCAAGCCCAGCCAACAAACTCGGCTCCCGTCTATAACCATTCGCATACACATACACATACTTCCATACATAATACTTAGTACATCCTTCGTCTTCTCTCTGCGCCTCCTTCGTGCGTCCATCTCCCCAGCTTCTTTCTCCTTCTCCTCTTTCGTTCAGTCAGTCAGTCAGTCAATCATTCAACTGCGACATCTTCTACACCCGCCAAATACACCACGCTATACTACACTACACTGCTATCCCATCTGATCTGATCTGATCTGGTAGATCTGCGACCTTACTTTGGCCAGCTATGGCTAGTCACTAAAGTTGGGATCCTCATTCCTTAACAAGACCTTCAATCCACAGGTCAACGGCGATCGTCGCCGCCCCTTGCAGCAAACATGGTCCGGCTCTTCTCTGCTTGCAACATAAACATGTCATTACCTCTAACATTACACTTCTAGGGCTGCTGCCTCTCTCGTTCTTCGGGTCCCAACTCTCCCTACCCAGGTGGCGCACCCAACGCTTCGTCGCGCGCTATCAATCCTCCCCCGCTGGCACTCCCAGAAGCCGCTCAACCGCAAATTCCCGCCGAAAGACGTCGCCAGCACCGTCGCAGTAATCGTCCTCTGGATCAGCATATCGATAAGCCTTTGCGACGACACGAGTGGACTTCACGCGATCGCACATGGACTAAGAGCGAATTGGCAAAGGAACGAGTTGCCTTCTTTGATACAAGAGTCACCGGCAGACCTGAGATATGGCAGACAATTCATGCGGCCCTGGCTGTCTTGTGGGATCCAGCGGGCCAGGATGCGCAAGATGACGGATCCAATGGCCTTGCGACGGCTCAGATGATTTTATCCGCTGCTGAGATCTCTCTCCCGACTGGCAACCTCTCCAATGGCGTGTACGACTCTCTAGGAAACTACTATCAAATGCCGGAATGGGTTGTTTGCGATCCGCTCAATGTGCAGGAGGATCGAGAAGAGGGCGCAAAGAGTAATCTCTCAAATGCTGGCGACGACACAGCAGCAGATGAAGAACTGAGCGACGAAGAGATGGAGGGCAAGAAACAAGAAAAGGGTAAAGAGGTGGACGATGCCCAAGAGACAGTCAAACTACGAGCCAGGCTCAGTGAGAACGGCCAAGATATCAACGTCGCCATATATGAGTCGGATACTGTTCGTAGTGTAGCCAAAAAGATTGCTCTCGAGGCTGGCGTGAGTACCTTGCTTATTCTCTGGCGAGCAAACAGAATGCTAACAACACCCAGCTTGCGTCGACCAAGAAGATCAGGATAGCATACATGGGTAAGATTCTTAAGGACAACCTATCTCTCACGGCACAAAACTGGCAGACTGGTCATGTCGTCAATGCCCTTGTCTTTGACATTTGATTGTGCCCTACCGCTATCCTCCCAGCGCCAGACATGAGGCAACCTGGTCCCTGAACATTTGTCTCAGCCAAACACTTCACCCTCATCATCAACTTATCCCAATGGCAGCTTTGCCTTTTATTGATCCGCTGCGTTCGGCCACTTTTGGACAATACCCTATATCGTTTTTCCTGCTTTTACCACATCTGTCTGTGTCTTTTGGAGTTGGTGGGTGCTGGTCTAGCGATTATTTCCCCATCACTTATATTCCTCGCATATCCCCTTGTGTCGAGATTGATTTTGGATACTATTAACCAGCTGTTGCTCTTACAATACATATGTATATGAGCCCAACAAGGCATCCAACAAAAGTTTGGCAAGGCCCTCGCTAATATCACTTTTCCCTGTTCTGAACGAGAAAGCCGAGCTATTCAACCACAATTCGTGATAGCCACTGGCTCTGACTGTGACCCTATGTGAAACCATGTGCCTTTGTAATCAACGTCTACCTAAACCTGCTTACAATGAACTCTACCAGGGACCCATCGCACAGCCTTTTGGTGGGAAAACACCCATTAACATGCTCCGACCCTGACTCCGCTCCAACCATCGTCATGAATCTTGCAATGCTGAGACAACCCTTCTCATGTAATTAGATCCAGGTGTTTGTACGTATATCAGCTGACCTAAGCCGTGGACCCGATCTTGTTAAGTCCCTTCAAAGAGCCTAAGCTCAGTGCCAAGCCTTGTGATCGACTTCTTATTCTGACGAAACCAGTGATGGGTCCATCTTCGCCCTCCTTCTCAATGCTCAAATTAGCAAGAGCATCCTCACCTAAGTTCATGGTTAGCACGATCCTATTATTGCCATAGACTAGAATAACTTACCAAACACACTCCTAGCGTAAAGGTTGGCACTCAAGAATTGACAGTCACCCTTGAGACTGGCCTCTGGTGTCAGGCAGTTCATATTTGTGCAGGCCATAAGCTGGTCGAGGAAGTCACGTAGCGACTTGGCCTTGGAGTTGATGTTGACCTTGTTCTCCCACTCGAATTCAGTCCACATAGTGCGGAATTGGGTCTCGGTGCAAGTGGCGGGCTGAATGTAATCCATGATATCGACGTGTAAGTCGTTAAGAATAACGACATTGGTATCAGTAGAGTGAGCACCATCATATACGACGTTACCAAAGATGACACCAGTGTCTGTTGATGAGACCTTGATTGTGCATTGCACGTTGTGGAAGTCATGAGGACCCAGGTTCTGTGTAGTAGGTCGCTCAACGACCTTCAGGTCACCAAGCGTGGCGAACTCGACTGAGAGGTTTTGAAGAGTCTCTGTTGTCTGGTTGACAAGAAGAACATCGAGAACGATATCGAACTGATGAACCTTGACATATGCTTCAGCATACACGGGGTCCGAGAATCCGGTCAACTGAACCACACGGCTCAGCTTGGAAGACAGGTCTTCGGCGGTGCCCTCTCCACCAGTCGCCCTCTCCAGATCCACCTCGATCTCATCGAGGCCTTCGGTGGTGTTCTTCTTGGCTAGTTGTCGAATTTGGACAGCATCGTCAACCTGCACAGCAGTCTTGGCCTTCTCGAAAGCTTCCTTGGCGGCTCGCTTCTTCTCCTCCACCTGGACCATGGCTCGGAAGGCCTTGCGGGTATCATCCAACCAAACGGCCTCAAGCTCCTTCTTCTGCTCAAACTCAGCCAATGAGCGTACACATGACATGATTCGGTCCACAGAGTCCTCATCGATGGGAGCCTTGACAAATTGAGATTGTCCAACTCGGATGATAGAAATCATAATCAGCATGGCCTCAGCCCGGAGGGCGTTAGTTCGAGCCTTATCCGAGGAAATCTCATGATGTCGCATCACAAGCTTGACGAGAGTAGATGACAGAACAGTGGCCAGATAGTAGTCTCCGTCAAGAATGAGTTGGCGCAGAGGAGGCTTCTGAGCAGTCTTGACGGCCTCTAACTTAGCAGCTGCTGAAGACTGGCTGGTAAGAGCAGTCTCGGTAGCATATGTGCCATCAGCCAGGACCTTGCGTGAACCAGATGGCGCGGCCGGCTTCGATGCTCCGTTGATGTGATCGTCGGTCTGCTCCTCGGTGTCATGAGAATCCAGTAGCCGTTGCTCCGATGCGAGAATGGGCATCTCGCCAAGACTAGCACGTATCCTCTTCCAAGCCTCTCGAATGTCCTTCTCTTCAAGAGAGTACTCACCAATGATCCACATGATGCCACGGTACACCTTGCCAGCTCGGACCTCACCCAGGGTGGAGACAAGCCGCTCAATGATGGTGGTACGCAGATTGGGGAACTTTTCGACAACTTCCTTGACAAAGTTGATAACATCGACAGCGGAAGCGTTGTTGAAGTCGGCAATAAAATCCATAAGCAGCTCCACGACGCTCGCTGCGACCTCGGAAAACTTGATAGCGCATTGGTGAATAGAGTGGATAAGGAGAGATCGGTACTCGGTGTTCTTCTCGTATTCTTGGTCGACTGTCTTGGAGAGTTCCTTCTTGAGCAAGAGAACAACCTCTTCAACATTCTTGCTGGATACCATCTCAAGGGCAAGACCAAGAGCCTTTCGTCGGACGTCGATATCGGTACTGGACAGAACTCGGAGAATCTCCATGGTCAGGTCATCAAGGACACCCTCGTTCTTCTTGCGCAATTGATCAACTCGATCAAGCACGATCAGCTTGACATTGTTATCTGCCTCCTTGATGCTCAGCTCAATGAACTTGGCGGCGGCGGCCTTGACCGCAACAGGGTTATTGGTTAAAGCAGTAAGAGATGAGGCAGCTTCGTATACGACAGTTGAAGCGCCAGCTTCTAGCAGGTCGAAGATCAATCGCAGATATCGTGCCTATCATATAGTCAGTGGCTATTCAGCCCCCTCCGTGAGTGACTATCAGACAAACCTTGTTCTGGGAGTTCTGAACCGCATCCTTGCGAATGAACTCGAGTTCGACAAGCTGAAGAAGCTCCTCTGCATTGGGAATGCCTTCAAAAACGGAACTGAGGTAAACGAGGGCAGCATCGTGGTCAATGCTAACAAGAGCGGCAAAACCATTCCTTCGGCAAACACCGTCACTCTCTCCCTCGAGGAAAGTCGAAATGAGTTCGGAGGCATCTGGAATCAGGGAAGGCGAGTGCAAGAAAATGGAGGCGATGGCAAAAACGGCGTTTTTTCGGACGTAGGCATGTCGGTGTTCGAGACAGGATCGTGCTGAAGAGAGGAGAGGCTCAATGAGCTCAGCTTCCCTCAACTTGCAAAGGAAGCGCAGGGTGTTTCCTCGAATGTATTCGTTGGGATGTTGAAGATCGTTTCGGATACCGTTACTACGAGAGTATTGTTAGCAAAAACCATCGCAGCGATCAAATTTCTTGGTGTATAAGTAGTAGTAGTAGTAGTAAGGGCGTAGCCGTACCAAACCAGAATCATCTCCTGCTTGAGCTTGCCGCTGCTGTCAAGCTTGGGGCAGATTTCGTAGTAGAAGTAAAGAAGCTTCTTGAGAGGCTTATACTTTGAAGGCATGACGAAACGGATAATGTGCATTAGAAGACTGGGCATAGGATCGCCATTGAGCATGATGGTCAAGATGCGCTTCATAGTCTCGACCTTGGTCTCATCGGTACCCTTCTCCAGCTGCATGCGCAGATCGGAAACGGTGGGGACGTCGGCCGCATTGTCCTGGTGAACGAGACTGTACGCATTCTCAAGAAAGCCAGACATCTTGAAGAGTGTCGCCAGTTGCTGGCCGAGAAAGTTGGTGGGAGTGTTTGTTGTAGATGGGACGTGGCTCTTAGGGGGACGTTTGGAGGTGGATTGGAGGTATAGGTGGTATGGACTTCGGCGGTGGGGAGGCTCAGCTCAGGGGTTCGAGCTGCTTTAGAGCTTTAATTGTCGGGATGAGTAGCAGAATCCGCCTTGGCCATTCGTTGAATCGTATCTGGCGCGCAATCGCTAACAGCTTTTACCAGAATCCCCTATGGTAATTTAGACCAGCTCTGGACGGCATCAACTTCAAGAAGATCTGTCCTGCCAGCGATGTCGAACAGGTGGCACTAAGCGACTTAATGTGAGGGACGATATCACGTGATTTAACAAGGGGTAGTTTGGTACTTTGAGGCTACCATTCAATGCTGATTTCTATATCCTTAACAGAACATTGAGAGGTGTAGTTCTAAAAAAAGAAACCGTCAGGTGCTTTTCAACGATGATTTATGACTCAATTCAACATAAGTAGACCGCTCTTATATCTGGTGTAGTTGCCTTGCCTTGTTGATAGCTAAGCTTTGGGTTGACAGCTGATGTACTTCCAAAGCCGCGTAGTTGGCTACCGACGGTGAAGGTCTTACACCGGTCGTAAAGCTGTTCTGCCCCGCCGAATATGGTCCGTGCACCCATCTTCGACCACCAGGTCCCGCGATTCTTTCTCAGCCTTGCGATCTCAAGTGTGATAGTTGATAAATCTTGACTTGAATAATACCACCAGTCAGTCTTGCCGCCTTCCCACAGCAGCAAAAATGACGTCCTCGAACGAACCATTCTACTTGCGATACTAGTCAGTCTATCATCACGGCGTCTTCTAGCTTCCCCGTCTAATTGATGGTCGCGAAACGATGCTAATGACGTTCCTCCAAACAGCTCTGGCCATATGGGTCGTTTCGGTCACGAATTCCTTGGTACGAATACTTGTGCGGTGTCTCTATACTGTTCTAAGTTATTCTAACGTGTCGCGCGCTCAGAATTCGATTTTCGAGTCGTCGGCGATGGTCGCAGCGCGGTGGCCCGATATGCCAACAACTCCAACTACCGAAACGATAGTTTGATCCGAAAAGAGAGTAAGGAATGCGATTAACCCCGCGGAATCAGCATCTCTGATAAGTCATAGTGTGTGTCAGCTCGGTAGTTGTCGACGAAATCAAGCGCATCATCAAGACGAGCGAGATCACCAAGTACGACGAACCGAATATTCAGTGGCCTTGCCTGAGCATCGCTAACCCAATGTAGAGAAGATGATTCGAAATGGCCTCAGAAGAATAAAGATGGACGCCAGGAATTGGAGATTCGGATTGGTAATGATCATATCGCGTTCGAGGTCGGTCATTGAGACACCGTATTTCGGAACACTACTAACAGCACAGTAGACCGCCAAGATTGGATCCCTGGTGGACGTCACAGAGTCTGCTGACCCAGAAGGTCTGCGAGTGTTCTACTACCTTGTTCAGGATCTCAAGGCTCTAGTTTTCAGCTTGATCGCTCTGCACTTCAAGATCAAGCCAATTTAAAGGACGGGCCCGACTAAAAATAATGGGATACGGTGTTATGGGATCGAAAAGTCGAGGATGCAAATCTCGATGATAGAGGCGATGTTTCGGCTATAGCTAAGAACGATACCCGTACTGTGAAAGAAAGGCGCGAAAGACTACCAGAAACAAGCCATGTTTATATATCACGAATGAAAGAACAATATCACCAAAGAAGCGATCTCATAGAAAAGCATTTTGAGCACTGTTGTCGGGTAGGTGGAATATCACTAGATACTCATCGAACCCTTCGATCAGAGAGCTAGGGAAACCTTGGGAGTCACAGATGCGGGAAATCTTGGGATAATGCCCTGGGGGATGTGGTACGACGGGGAATGGAGTCATTTGTTAATTACCAATCGCCCCTGATAACACGAGTCGGATCATGCTATATGCTCTATATTTCAGCCTGCAATATGCAATCCTGAACAAGACCTGAGTAACACACGCTTGGACCAGACTCCCTGGGCAGGCTCACATGTGAGGTTGAGTGAGCGGTCTGGAACAGCTCTCTGCACTTGCAAAGCAATCAATAATAAGATACCACTTCCAGAAGAAACAGCAAACAGAAGTGATTTAGAAGAGATGATGCAGGTGGCGGAGGCTCCAATACTGTAAAAGCTAATGAATAGGCGACGGGTAGACCCGTGAAGGAAACGATAATGCGAGATTGAGGTGGAAATTACCAACGTTGTATGATGATTTCAGATCATGCCAGCAAAACAAAACGGTCTCGGTGTTGGCGTGTGCATCATGTCTCCTTAAAGGCCCATCACCCCATACGAAATGCAAGCGGCAACGTGGTGGGGGGTGCTGGGGCTGCCCGATGGCGCCTGGGCGCTTCTGGAGGCACGGCACGGAAGCAGCCCAATTCTTTTCCATTTGCATGAGGAAGCATCTGATTCCAAATCTGAGAGAGGCGTCAACTCGAGTTTTGGGGGAGGGCACCGTTGGGAAGTGATTAATGTTAGGGTCCTCATCGCCACTTCTAAAAACTCAATTGTGAGATTTCCTTTGTTGTAACAGTGGATGAAAGGTCTTGTTAAGGTTCATAATGGCCCGCTAAGACGGAACTGGGACTGGACCTAGACCTAGACCCTGGTCAAGCCTCAGCATCTCAGCCGAAGATGAAAAGGAATCATAGTGGAGAGGACACCTCGATCTGCATCTTCTCAAGTTACATGTCACCCGGGGAAGTAGGCAAAGCTTTCCACAAAGATTTCAAATGGAGAGTTTCGGGCAAAGTCGAGTGACAGTGGAAATACGGATAATTAACTTACTTGATCTTCTCAAGCTTTTTCGCCGTTCGCACGCTTATCTGTCTTTCTGTAGGGAAGAAGCTGTTTTGGTACCTGAGTAAAGTTTATAGGTATAAGAGTTGGTAAGGCCTGTTTGTCGGATCTTTCCACAGAGATTCTTCTCTTCATTGTTCCAATCTAATGAGGCCGTCATGTTGTTTAAGGAGTTGCATACCCCAAGTTACACGGCATCTGCCTGCAAACCAAGACACCTCATCATGTACAGTACTGTAAAATCATGAGCTAGGGAGACTTGGAAAACTCCCCGTCTTGCCGAGTGGAGTGGATGGAGGTCGAGGTACCCACCTACAAATCCGCTAGGTGCAGAAACCCCGGATGGCAGCAAATCAAGCCCCTCGTCCGTCGATATGAAAATGGAAGACAACCCAGCAGCATCACCGACCGACTTTGACCCTTTTCTTGCCATCCATCACATCGACCCATATCCATATGCGATCTGGCATGCTTTAACCTGCTTCCACCTCACCTGTATTATTACACCACTCTCTCCCCCAACTTTTGTGATGGGCACGTTGTTTGCTTTCTAAAGGGCTTTCAGGCGCCCTGTTCAACTCTACCAAAGTCGCTAGTCCCCGAGATCGCCACCCGTTTTGGTGATTAGCACTAACTTGCTTGTTCTCCCCTCTGGCCTCCAACAGCGCTCGACGTCAGTCAAATCCTCGCAACATACATACATGATCTACTGGTCGATTTGATACCCACGACTCTTCTTGTCCTCTTCATGAACTTCTGTCTATCCCGCGTCAACATTTTCGCTGTTTAATTGCATCATCTCCCATCACACGTCACAACAATGCCAACACCATCATCAAATCCGCCGGTCGAAGCCGCTTCGCCTCGGTCTTACAGTTTCTCGACATGTCCTGACGATGTTCAACATCAGCCACGTCCTAACCGGCAGTCACGCGACGATGATCAAGTCCACGATGCTGATCTACCCGACTCCAATCTTTCTGTCGATGTCGGCTCGCCCCTTGCCGTCGACGCGCCGGCTGCGCCCGAAGGCCCAAGCGACGATGCCACCATGTACGATGGACGTCCATCCGATGAACCGTCCTCAAGATCTTCCACCATGTCTCCTCGTCCTCAAACCGCTACTACGGCTGCCACGACTCCAATGCCTAGCGGCCCAGGGTCTGAAATAAAGGGAAGAGAGGCCGAGATCGGCAGTCAGTTGAGTCGAGAGCCTTCAAATAGCACGCAACGAGCATCTGAAACCGAATCAATCCCTCGAGAATCATCCAGACGGAGAGGGTCGCCGAATGGAGAGTCAGATTGGGTTGATATCGATGCGCAAGAGGATGAGCTTTGGTCTCCATCCATGGGCTCTGACTTTTCATGTATGAGGGTGAGTTAAAACGTCGATCGCACTGTATACGCATTGATCTGATAATCGAAAGACTATCCCTTCGGCTCCTTCATCTTACCTACGTCCGGGCAGCAAATTCCATGGCACGCAACAGTCAGAGAGGCAGGTCTACGATGTGCAGGTCGAAATTAAGCATGTTGACATGCGAGAGTCTTTTCTCTGTGGCTATCTGCGTATCCAAGGTTGGTGGTCAGAGTGTAATCAAGATCGACAATGACACTGACTCTGCTTTCAAGGTCTAACTGAGGACCATCCCACCCTCACAACATATTTTGAGGGCGAAATCATTGGTTCCAAGTACAGTTTCTACACACAACACGAGAACTGGGGCGCAAATAGCAAGGTTGACTTGAGTCATTGGGCCAAGTTCACAGCTTTCCGTCCTTTCCAAAAACAAGCTCGCAAGGGGCCTGTCACTATCCGAGATGCTGCCCAACGAGAAACCATCTTTATGCGCTGGAAAGAGCACTTTTTAGTTCCAGACCATCGAGTTCGCACGATAACGGGTGCCAGCTTCGAGGGGTTCTACTACATTTGCTTCAACCAGGTCAAGGGTGAAGTAAGCGGTATTTACTTCCACTCTAAAAGCGAAAAGTTTGTTCCCCATACCAATATCAATCACGCGTCAATTCCTGCATACTAATCGGTAACAGGTTCCAGCAATTGGAGCTGAAGCATGTCCCCGACCAGGGATGCTTTGCCGCTACCGAATTTCGTTAAACTTACGGCTACCTCAGTACAAAGCATACTACAAGCTTGGAGCGCGGCGCCGCTACAAGCACATCGCCAGTCATCGCCTTGGTTTTGTTGCAGGACCGGTTTGGGATATCCAGCACTGTTATAACAACATATAGATGGGAATACGGGAAGGGTTAGGGCCCGCTATCATGACATCTTGACGTGCCTACGTATGTTGCTTTTGTGGGTAATCAGGATTTGGGTTTTATGGGCAGTTTATCACATGAATGCGGAGCATAGGAAGTCTTTGATGGGAGCAAAGCGAAGTCTTTCCTGTAAGCGAGGTTTTATTCTTCGGCCTCGAACTTTTTGAAATATCCACGTCGAAACGGGTTGAGTTCGTCTGCCGATGTTCCGTCCAATGTGAGCTTCTGTCGATTTGTGTAAGCCTCGAGGGCCTCTTGCGAGACCTGTGAGTCGGGGAGCCGACGGTAGGTGATGAGTCTCCTTGACCCTGCGAAATATCAGTAGGTGCAGGATTAGCAACAAGGCTTCAGCGGCAACTCACACTTGTTGAACGGCTGAGTACAGACAGACACAACTCCCATGTAAGGATGGCTGGGTACGGGAATCTCTTGGTCTTCGTCGTTAGCTGTTGGCATCCAGAATGACAGTCGCCCTTCATCCACCAGAGTCTCAGCTGCAAAAGTCAAGATATCATCAAGCATCACCAGAAAGCTATAAGGCTTCTTAGGTGGCACATAAGTTGGCTTCCTGCGATAGTCAGCGAATGCGCAAATCGAACGGCTAGGACATTACGTGCATTCCATGTTGCTTCCCCTGCTCTATCAACCAGGGGGTCTTCTCAGGGTCACGGAGACCAAGAACCCTCAGCCCTTCTCTCACGCCATATGGAGGATCACAAACAATTCCATCCCATGTACGAAGATGCCTCCTAATTGGTGTGTTGGTCAAGTCGGCCGAGAATACGTCTCCTAAGCAAGACCCAATGCCATACTGGTCAAAGTTGCCTTTCAAACTCTTGTTGCCACCCTCGCCGCGGATACTTCGACCATCGATATCGCTTCCGAATGCAAGGGCACCGAAATGGGCACAGGCGATGGGAAAGGAACCAGTTCCAACGAACGGATCATAGAATAGCTTGCCAGGGGCGGCGAGTGCAAGGTTGGCAGTGACGAGAGCGAGCTCAGAGTCCATACTCGTCGTTGAGATATATCCTCGCTTCTTGAGGTCGAACTTGACCAAGAGTTCTCGCGATGAGTTCCCTACATGTCGTGCGAGATACATCATTGTGGGGTCCGGAATATTCAAGGGGACGCTGTTATAAGGCCACATCTCGAAGATGGTAAACAAGTTGTCAGGGTTGGTCATTTTCACAGGCCCAGTCCAGCCCAGAAATCGGAAAGAGTTGATGAGTTCGATCCTCTTTTTGGCTGAACGAGTTCCTTGGTATGGGTCAACATCGAACTTGAATGATTTTCCAAGATAACTATCCCAGACATGAGATGTGTTTGTCTTGACTGATTCATGAAGTACATCCAGTGTGCTTCCTTTGCCCCAGAGCTCATGGATAGATTGAATGAGAATGGATCTCTTGGCCAGACGCTTAGCCGATTCAACCGAATCAAGGTGCACGATACAAAATGGGGACTATTCACAGTAAGTTTCTGGGTTTAACCAATATTATTCATGGGAGAACAGACGTCTTGGCTATAGTCGACTATTTTCATATCCAGGCCTTCAACCAAGGCCAAAGCCTCGATCTCAGGGACCCGAAAGGTCTCATGCGCCTGAGCAAATTTGATGAGAAAATCCATCTCAATTTTCAGTTTCTGGTGAATCTTGTTGTGTAAGAGGAAGTTCAGTTTACCCTAGGATTTGTGACTTGAAGTGGTGGGGGAAGTCACACCAAATGCCTGACTTCATTGATCAGGAAATTGCTTTACTGCGTTATTCCACGACCAGATAAACCTTAAGAGCGTTGAGTGCTTCACAGTACAAAATATCTGGAAAATTCAGTGATTTGCAGAGTTGAGGATGCAGCTCGACCAAGAGATCCTCTTTAGATTCTGATCTTGTGAGAAAAATTCGCCGAGAAAAACCCGGCTAACCAAAACGTTCCATTTGTGTTACCCAGCACCTCACATTTGCGACTTACACACGAGCAGAAACAGCATTCGGCATCACACACGGTATAATATCATACTTTTCCTGACCTTCAACCATGTTTCCAGCTGCTGCGCCGTCGATTTATCAATCGCCAAAATGTTTTGTTTCATACGGCACTATGGGTTACCTTGATACCAAGCAAGCTCCTCGCAAGGGCAAGCCTTGGACCGTAGTTATGTCGTTGGATTTCATTCATAAGGTTTGAACAAGCATGGACGCTCAGAATGAATTAAATACTGAACTGAGGTTAGGTTGATCTAATTCTACCTTCAGAGGCCTACGATGCTGCTTGTCAGCAGCTGAGCAACGCTCAAAATGCCCCTCGCTACTCAAAGGTAGTAATGTCGCTTGGAGATATTCTCCAAGGCGACTTTTTTACTGAGTACATCAAAAAGGGCAAGCAGTTCACTCTGTGGTTAAGTGTTTCTGACGTTGACCCTGTTTCCAGGTGATATCATGATGCTCTCGGAGGGACAGACAGCGGTTAGCACACTATTTACCTTGCGCGAAGGTATACAACTGGATCAAATCCTTAGAGATTATATACTAACGCTTAGCAGGTATATTAACCATGTTCGTGGACAAGGAGACGTATGAACGTGCAGGACTTGTTGGTAAACCATATGGTGCAAAGGGTGGGAGAGGGTCAAAACCACGTTGGGGTGAGTGGCCAGATAACAAGTGCCAGGAACAACAGCTAACTCTCGTGAAGTGGTAACATACAACCTTAGAGATCCATCCATGCTTCGAGGACACAAAGGCTATGACAGGCTGATCTATGCCTGCAGGTCTGTCTTCACTCAACCCATGACATGGCTCTTCTGCAATAGCACAACCCAAAGTAAGCACAATCAGGCTCTCTAAACCCGTATGTCGATCTCATACTAATGCTTTCCAAGCCCCGAATCCTGATCCCCTGCAAAAGTTCTCTCCCACAGCCTGTACATCAACATCCAACATATCGCAGGATATCGCTGTTCTTCAACCAAGTCTCGATGTCGACCCAGAGGTTCTCTCTGAAAATGATCGCGAGTCTCTGGAATACTTTGCCACAGAAGTTTACGAGTGGCTCTCACTCATTCGCCTTGGTAGCTCGCGTGTGGAGCCTCGTGACAGCATCGACCCCTATCTTTCAAGGTATTCTGTGCCAGGCGACGATCCCAAGGAATCCAAGGTCTGCAAGTTGAGTTGGGAGGGTTTCATGTCAGCACAGTGGCTTCGTGGCTTGCTCATGGATGTGCTAGTTGCTTGTCCTTCGAGGACATGGTTTTCCCTCAGTGCTACGAGCTTCTCGAGAAGTGTATCTGGCAACAGTGATGACCTCACTATCCTGAGACCACCCAGCGCGGCCGGGAGGTATCTCATGTGGGAGACAAAATCGTCGGATTGAACTCCTAATCTTGCTTTGATCGCACGTTTCGTTCATCCCCGACACCGCCCTCACCCAGAACAGCATCCTCAACCAACTTCCGCAGCTCGGCTTGACCTTGAGGGGTATTGAAATCGTCGCGTTGAGCCAGTTCCTCGATTCTTCTTCGGAACTCTGGGTCGATTTCCTCGGGAATGTCTGTGGTCTCGTCCATCGTGCCAACAGTAACCTTCATTCCCTCTGGAGGGGGGGGGATAACTTCAGGCATGACAGCCGCTGCGGTCGAGGCAGGATCATCGGCCTTCTTGGCTTCGATCATGGCTAGGTATTCCGCAACAGCAGGAAATTCAGCTTCCGCTTCAATCTTTTCTCTAGCTGTTAACCCTTCTGATCCCCGGTGGTTGATGTTTGCTCCGAGCTCTTCGACGAGGACCTGCGCCGCATCTTGGGTTTCGACAACAAACAAGGCAGTCTCGTTGTCCTCATCTTTCAGGTCGACGTCGACATTGAACTCGCGGACTAGCGCTCGCAGGAGGTCGAGATGATTGTAGCTGGCAGCGGCGTGGACGAGTGAATAACCATGCTCATCTTGCGATGATGCGAGTGCTGGGTTCTCTCGGAGGAGGGGCAGCAACGTGGGGTTGTTATCGGCTGGAAGAAGGAATGGGTTTGGGGTAGCCATGATTGTAAATTTCTATTCGGTGCTGTTTTGCGACGAAGAATGAGGTCGGAATAGTTCCTTCTATGTACAAAGTTAAGATAGGTTTCTAGCTTGTCGCGTCGTCAGTGTCGAACCTTTGAAACTTTGCATGTAGAAGATTTTTGGCGGGGTAGCTTGCATGTGGAACCCCACAACCCATCATGACGACTGACCAAATATTAGGATTTCCTCAATTGGGTGCCTATCCAGATCAACACATGGTCTCCTATTAGGCAGAAGGCAAGCTCTATCAACTAATCTAGCCCTTATAAGTCATCTTTAACCCTTTTCCTACACCTGGTGCTCGATTATTGCCGGCGTGACGCATCAGACACAGCAAGGCCATCATTCCAGGGTAAGACCCATCCAGAGTTAGTACTTTGCCCCTCTACATCCAAAGTGCTTGCCTGACCTGATAGTGAAAGGATCCATGGGATGACTCAGTAAAAGGTCTACCAGTTTCCGAACTTGAACACAAAAGTCTGGGACTTTGATTGAACATTAATTTCTCTTCCGTGTGGCCCTTGCTCCCAATAGCGGCCTGACTCACTAAGAGAGTCTAAGTTCGTTCTTTATTGAGGCGGTGCCGTAAGGCAGTTTTCGACTTATTCCTGGCCCGCATCAACCTTAGCACAACCGCCACAACCTCATTTGAGCTGCGTCTACAGAAATAACATCGCGGACCCGGTCTACATATAAAGGCCCAGCCAGTGGCAATACTTGTATCTGGTTTCAGTTTATACACATTTGCAGATACCCTTTGTGCACAATAATACGCACACTGTTGTCCAGTTCAGTTCACTTGGCAGGGCACTGTAAGCAACTGCAGCATCATCACGCGCGCGACTCTTTCCTTGACTCGAATTTTAAAAAAGTGAGTTCCTCCAAATCTCAGATGCTCAGGATTCCGGAAAACAATCACTTGGGTTTGCTGGAATAAGTTGGCTCAGATCACTTGACAGAAGATTGCCTGCCCCTCGAGTGAGGAAAGCGTCTCATCTTGCCTGAGAACCATCGCCATCAACCTCATGCTTGCTTACCGTCGTTCTCTGCGTTCTCTTCTCACACCCCTCAGCAGAGTCACCACGAATCACCAGAATATTCGAGCTTCTTCAACGGCTCTCGACAGAATGTCTGCCCCTTATACTCCCCAGGACGTTCAAGCCGTAGCGAACGTGGTGCGTGCTTTGGACAGTGCCCGAAAGGACAAGAAACGCGGCGGATTCGCAATCAAAAAGACAACGTTCGATGTTAAAGGATCAGCGGATGGCATCCAAGTCGACTCCTGGCGCTTGCAGGACTGGGATTACAAGCGACGTGATTTGCCCACATATGCGCGCGGCCTCTTCACTACCAAGACACGACGAAACGAGCCAGAAATCGCCGTGAGAGGCTACGACAAGTTCTTCAATGTTAACGAGGTTCATGAGACCAAGTGGGAGAACATCTTCACACGGACCCAAGGCCCCTACGAGCTGACACTCAAGGAGAACGGCTGCATCATTTTCATTGCCGGATTGGAAGACGACACATTGATTGTGTGCAGCAAGCACTCAACTGGTGACCGAGATGACATCCAAGTCAGCCATGCTAGCGCCGGGGAGAAGCGCCTAGAACAACAACTGGCTGCCGTTGGCAAGACGAAAGCAGATCTTGCACGAGAGCTCCGCAAGAGGAACGTGACTGCCGTAGCGGAGCTTTGTGATGACCAATTCGAGGAGCACATCTTAGCATACGGTCCAGATAAGGCTGGGCTATATCTCCATGGTATCAACCTCAACCTACCCGAGTTCGCTACCTACCCCAGCCGTTTCGTTCAAGAGTTTGCCGATGAGTGGGCATTTCGTAAAACGGGTCTTATCACAATGGACGACATCCACCAAGTCAAGGCTTTCCTCGAAGAAGTAGCTGAAACTGGAGCACACGATGGTCGCGATGTCGAGGGTTTTGTTATACGTTGCAAGATGTCCCACGACCCTTCTACACATCCATATCGCGACTGGTTTTTCAAGTACAAGTTTGAGGAGCCATACCTGATGTACCGCCAGTGGAGAGAATGTACTAAGGCTTTGATTGCTGGAAAACAGCCAAAGTTCAAGAAACACACCAAAATCACCGAGGAGTATCTGCTTTACGCCCGAAGACGACTTGCCGCAGACCCGAAGCTGGGAAAGGAGTACAACAATAACCACGGGATCATCGCTCTCCGCGATGATTTCTTGAAATTCAAGAACATCAACGGTGCAGATGCAGCTAATATGGGAGAGCTGGATCCTCTTGTAATGACAGAGGTCACTCGTGATGTTATTCTGTGTCCTATTGCCACCATTGGCTGTGGCAAGACAACCCTCGCTATGGGACTCTCGCACCTTTTCGGTTGGGGTCATGTTCAAAACGACAATATCTCTGGCAAGGGCCGGCCTCCACGCTTCACAAAGATGGTGTTGGACGAACTCAAAGACCATCCTGCCGTGATTGCAGACCGAAACAACGCACAGAGACACGAACGTAAGCAGATCATCACGGATGTGAAGCTCCAGCATTCTTCTGCCAAGCTTGTCTGCATGAACTTCAAGCATGATGAAGAGTCAATCGATGAGATTCGGCGAATTACCCAGGAAAGAATTATTGCCAGGGGTGATAACCACCAGACTATCCATGCAGCAAGCGATAAAGAGAAGTTCATTGGTGTAATGGAGGGCTTTATCAACCGATATGAAGCTTGCAATCCGCACTCTCGACCCGACGATGGCTTCGATGCTGTGATCGACCTTGATCCTACAGCTAGCAGCCGACAGAATCTCGAAACTCTTGTTACACAACTCCACAAGTTGTTTCCAAATCTTGTCAAAGAGATTCCCTCTGCTGCAGCATTTGACGCTGCGATGGATTACGCCCTCGGCTACAAACCAGATTTCAGGCATGATATACCTGACAGGGGCAAAAAAAGTTACCCGCAGCAGCAAAAACCTAAAGTTCAGAAGCCAAGAAAGATGGAATACATGGCTGTGGGCATTTCGACCCAGGAGGTCAACAATGCTCTTGAGCAAGCTTTCAAAGCCACCCCACCTACAACTTCGCGGCTTTATACACAACTCAAACAAACACGACGCATACAGCCAAAATTCCATGTCACTTTGCTGCACAAGGCTGGCAGTAAGGAGCACCCTGAGCTCTGGCAGAGATACGCTGCGCTGCAGAAAGAAGCAGAGGCTGCTGGCGACCCTGAAGGGAAAGTTGGCGAATGCGATGTCATGCTCGAACGAGTAAGCTGGCCCAAAACCCATGAGATCTACAGTAACTGACCGTAAATAGGCTGTGTTTGATGACAGGATCATGGCTATCGTGGTTCGCCTAGCAGACCAAAATGACCAATGGCAGTGTGTAAACCGCGTTGCTCACATAACGGTCGGAACTCGAGATGATTCTGTAAAGCCCAAAGAAAGCAATGACCTCCTGGGAAGGTGGCTGGAAGTGGGTAGTTCCCTAGAAACCAAGATTGGAGAGGTTGTATTCGAGGAGAGGCCTACGCTCAAGGGTACAGTGGCACCTGTACTTAGCAAGTTTTAGAGGAGTGAGATGCAACGGTTGAGTATGCAGTGATAGATTTTCAAGGAGCACTAGCATGATTTGAGAATACGGACTCCACGGAGTCCATCCTCACGGGTTCAAAATATATTTTGAGAGACCTAAATAAGATACTTCATTTTTGTCTCCCCATGACTGAAAGTAAGCTCAAATACGTTAAGCGACTTTGAAGTGTTGGAAAGACGGTCTTCAAGAACTGGATGAATCAGCTGAATTTCAAGACGGAAGAGCCGAGGCTGAAGGCACTTGGTTTTCTAGAACAATTCAAGTGTGCCAGAAGGGGCGTGAGCATATCTATTAACGTGATAAGACAGAGGGTTGGCTTCTAGCATGAGGTAGGTAATTCGATTGCCAGTCCTGAGCTGCGAAGGGGGTATTGTGAATACGTCTAAATGGACAAAACTCAAAAAACAATACAATACAAGCAGCGCGTGCAACTCAATTATGCGTTACTCATCATCAAGGAACCGACTAGCGAGGGCACCGAAGAATGGCACCTCGAATCTAAGAAGTCTATTAATAACGAGATCGGGATGGACTGGGGGGTTCCGCGTACCTGTCGAGTATCTCTGCATCTTTGTAAGCTCGTAAAGTGAGAACAGCGATTAAGGCAATATCACAAAGAAAAAAGAGCCAGCTCAGGAACGTTGACCATGAAAATACAAGATGGAAGACCATAATGGCTGTGAATAGCAATGCAGATTGCCAAGCATGAAACCTAATACGAGTGTCAGAAAACGAACATACATTGGTGAAAGTTTCGAAAACGGCCATAAAGATGCAATCGTACCTCACATAGTCACTATTCCGCTCCAAGATCAGCAGTATAATCGCACCCAGTGGTGGAAATGCGACATATGCTAGACAGGCTTCGTAATCCAGGCGCATTCCTAAGCTTGTGTCGAACTCGCTGACTTCGGCAGCAGGATAGGTGCCAGGCATTGTGCTTGGTCCACCGAAAGCGCGGTTATCAGGACTAATGGCCGCCCAGCCAGCTGACTGGCCATCAAAACCGCTCCATCCTCTTTGTGGCTGTGGGTGCTGAAGCGGTGGAGGAGAGGCGACGGGTGAAAACGATCGTCTGGCATCGTAGGATGGTCGAGGCGAGGCATAGTCGGGAGAGGTCACACGTGAGTGCTCCGGGGGAGATGATTGATAAGGAGCGAAGTCCATATTGTGTGTGTTGAATTATGTTGCTGATTCGATGTAGACGGTTCGGTAGGTGAATTGAATGACGATAGAACAGTAAACAGGTCGTAATCGAGCTCCAGTAACTACCCGTCGCCTTGTTTTCCCTTTATTTCACAGCTTTATGATACCTTAGAGGAAAGTGGTGATCTTGACGTCGTGTTGTAAAGTGGTTTGCGACTATTGAGTTGATCGAGAGGCGGGGCGGTGATAGTAGGTCAAGGTTGTTCTTGGTAAGGTTGGAGTTAGCTCTCGCATACCTAGAGTACCTGCATATAATAATAGTAGCTTTCAGCCACACATTACGGATAAAGCCACACTTATTGCTAACAAGGCCCCGACAAGGGTAGAGTATCAGCTGGAACGATTCTGCCTTTTGTCCAAAGCAGCAGAGTATTTACCACGTTTGCTTCTGTAACCAATGGACAACGTGCCATAGAATATGGTTTTGCCGGAAGAACTCTCGATCCAGCCAGCTTTGACATTGCAGCGATCCAATATGCTGTTCGTACATCTACACATACATGGCCTTTATAAGGCGTCTTATTTGTACATCGTATCTCAAAACCTCCCGAGCTGTATGTTCATTCGCCATCCTTTTCGTCGCCCTTGGTCTCGTCTTCTAGCTGGCCCTTTCTGCCCTCCAGAGCCAACCACAAGCTTCGGCTTCCGCCCTCCAGGGTACTGGTGATGCCCAATCCGACGCCTTGGAGCATGGCCACCAACTGGCCCCTCAAGCCTTCCAGGCCGCCCTCAATACCGCCAACCCAGTTGATACCAGATTGATCAAAGATCTTGCCTTCAACGCGGCCACCGACAAGTAGTAACTTGGCAAGACCACTTTGGCAGATGGGATCGTGAAAACCAGGGTTCTTCTTCCTCGAAGGAGCCGGGAATTTACCAGGAACAGGTGCCAGAACACTCAATGCTGCAGCGAGATGGGCCGGAGAGACGGCAGGGAGAACCAATGCAGCCAAAGGGCCAACCATTACTGGCTCGATCTGGGCGTAGCTTGAGTCCTCGGGTACTTCGGCATTCTTGATGGTTTCATAGGCAGCTTCGGAAAGATCATGCACAACAGGGCCCCGCACCGTCCTCGTTGTCTTCTCCGACGCAGCAGCAGTTTCAGGGTCGTAGAACTCAACAAGCTTGAGTGCCACGCGCAGCATGTTGGTTCGCACCACCTGTAATTGGACTAATGGGGTGATATCGACAGGTTCAGCACCAGGAATCGCATTGGGCTTGGGAACTGTGGAAAGAGCCTTCTTCAGCTCTCGCCGCACTGCAGCCCACTCTACGGCCGTCAAATTGCTATGTTGAAAGAATAAGATCAAGGGAGTCGTTCGGAGGAGTGATGTGTAGGTCCGGATCAACTGGCTCTTTCTCGTCTCAACAGGTCGGGCGCTGGGAGGTTTGGTAATGGGAGCGTGGTCGATTGGCTTTCGAACCGCAACCGAATAGTTTGGCGACGTCGAAATACTGCGAAGAGTCGTTGTCCATGGCCCGTGTGAGAGGTGTGATTCTCTGCGCAATTGACGCAGACAGGGCGACGCAGCCCGTGATATTCGTGAAGCCATACTTTCTAGCTATGGGGCATGTCAGAACAGAGTATCAACCATTCGAGAGTTAATGCTGTACATACATGAAATTGTCTTCCTGGCTCCGTAGCCAGATCAAAAATTCCACAAGCACTCACAGCCGCTACATGCCAATTGCAAGAGAGTTTCGACCCGTGCTTGGCCCGTGCACCGGATCAACCCACCGCCGATCCCCGGCACTGCAAGGCCACTGGAGCCAATGCCGGGCTGTTGTTGGCAGGCCAGGCTGATTACGCGCGACCTGACTGCCTACCTGACAGCTTGATCTTTGGTGTCTGTCGTTGGAGCATCCATAGCTTTTGACTTTTGCATTCAATTCACAGCTGCCCGCCACCCACAACGACCTTGCGTTTACCTCCATCACCCCTAATACGAGCTTGTAGCTATATCAACGCATTCAGATCAGATTCAATCCACGTCATTTCCCACCATGTCGACTCTCGAGGAGCTCGATGATCTCGACCGCCGAGACAAGGAGGAGAAGAAGAGAGATGGTGACGACAAGAAAGAGAAGAAGCCTACTGATGGCGACGCCGACATGCAAGATGCAGAGGAAGAGGAGGACGACATCCTTGACGAAGAGATCCTGGGGCTGAGCACACAAGATATTCAAACCCGCAAACGATTGCTAGAGAATGATTCTCGCATCATGAAGAGTGAGTTCTCGCGGTTATCACACGAGAAGGCTGCCATGGGTGAGAAGATCAAGGAGAACCAGGACAAGATTGCCAACAACAGGTTTGTTTCCGGTGAGCCATGGAAATGTGGATGTCATCGCTAACTTGGTTTATAGACAACTCCCTTACCTGGTCGGCAACGTCGTTGAGCTGCTTGACCTGGACCCTACGGCCGAATCATCAGAAGAGGGTGCCAACATTGACCTGGATGCCACTCGAGTTGGAAAATCAGCCGTTATCAAGACATCTACGCGACAAACAATCTTCCTCCCTTTGATTGGCCTGGTCGACGCCGATAACTTAAAGCCTGGCGACCTTATTGGTGTCAACAAGGATTCGTACCTTATTCTCGATACGCTCCCGGCCGAGTACGACAGCCGTGTCAAGGCTATGGAGGTGGATGAGAAGCCCACAGAACAGTACACTGATGTTGGTGGACTGGATAAGCAGATTGAAGAGTTGGTGGAAGCAATCGTATGGCCCATGAAGGAGGCTGAGCGTTTCAAGAAGATTGGCATCAAGGCCCCAAAAGGTAACATTGGAGGAGAAGTCGTGAAAGCCAATCGTATATACTAACTCTGCTTAGGTGCACTGATGTACGGTCCCCCAGGTACAGGCAAGACTTTACTAGCACGAGCCTGCGCAGCACAGACGGACGCTACGTTCTTGAAGCTGGCAGGTCCTCAACTGGTTCAGATGTTCATTGGTGATGGCGCCAAGCTCGTACGGGACTGCTTTGCGCTGGCTAAAGAAAAGGCTCCTGCGATTATTTTCATCGACGAATTGGATGCGGTTGGTACCAAGCGCTTCGACAGCGAGAAGAGTGGCGACCGTGAAGTTCAGCGAACCATGTTGGAGCTACTGAACCAGCTTGACGGTTTCGCCTCTGATGACCGAATCAAGGTGTTGGCTGCAACAAACCGAGTCGATGTTCTTGATCCTGCGCTTCTCCGATCTGGCCGACTCGATCGCAAGATTGAATTCCCCCTGCCAAATGAGGAGGCCCGCGCTCAGATCTTGAAGATTCATTCCCGCAAGATGAAGGTTGACCCCGGTGTCAATTGGGGTGAGTTGGCCCGAAGCACGGATGAGTTTGGAGGTGCTATGTTGAAGGCTGTTTGTGTGGAGGCTGGTATGATTGCTTTGCGATCAGGCAAGAACAAGATTGGCCACGAGCATTATGTTGATGCCATTGCTGAGGTGCAGGCCAAGAAGAAGGATGTAAGTGATGAAAACTTGGAGTCGTGCCATGCGATTTGCTTGCTAACTAAACTGAACAGACTGTCAACTTCTACGCTTAATTGTGATGATGTTAGATATTGCGGACTGGGTTACTGGTCAAACGAGCCGGGGCATTGGGGATTAGACGCGGCAAAGGCGAACATAGATCAATGTAACACTATCTCGACATACCGCCGTCTCTCATGGGGCCTTGACTTTTGAATGGTGAATTGACTCGACTCGGGAGTCTAAAAGTCGACATTGACGCCTTGGAATCGTAGATGTCAACGTCTTTAATGTAGATGCCTTTACTACCTATGGAGTTTTAGGTACTATTTGAGCAGGTTGTTTTATGTTGATATACCTAGAATTATAATTATATGAGATCAACAGTAGGGACAGGGTTTCAACACTCCAGACCCAGTCATTCAACGATTCCAAGGTAGTCATTTCTACAACACCCAGCTCAGTCGTAGTCTCCAGGCAAAGATCATTATGTCAGCAACAATTTGACAATCACCTGAAGACCTGCTGATGCAGCTGGAAACAAATATGCCCTTCTCAGGCATCTATTTATTGATCTGTGTGACCTAGACTAGCAGTATTTGATATGAATGGATCTGGCCGGAAGGTAACCCCACCGGAGCATTTGTTCCATTCGAGAATCGAGATCGACCTCTAGGAGTGCGGTTCGATTAAACATGGACGAGAAACAAGCATGTGCTTCACAGAAAGGACATTTTCAGCCCAGCTAGGGCAGTTTCTGGCAGCGGAATGTACCGATGTGCACCGGCTGGGCTTAGTCATCTGGCGTCTTACCTGTTCGAGCCTGGAGCTTGTGCGGGGCGGGTCATGCAAAGTACGTCATGGTGGCGCCTGGGGAGGGCACTCATCCAAGGCTTGTTTGTGCAAAATCACATCGCGATGATGAACGATAGGCAATGATGATGCTGATGGTGACGCTGCTGCCCCTTTGTTGACGAGTGATGAAGTATTGTGATACAGACTCTTGTGGAACTGTTTTGGTGCAACTGCCTCTCACAATTCAGGCTTTGCTTAGCTGTTGCGTAAGTATTCTGTACCTCTCTGTTACTCAGTGTAAACTGCCAAATTCCAGCCACCCATGACAACGGCACAGTGACGTGATAGATTTCCCTTCCCGTGGCTTGCTCTCCTACCTACAATGTTTCTTTTCTTTACCCACCCTCATCTCGCTTCAGTTGCATAACTCTTCCATTCTCATTCCTCCTCCAATTCTTTACCTTCTAATTCCCCCGAGGTGATTCCTATCATCACACTCTTCTGCGACCTAACTCCTGTCATTTCTTCGCGACTTGGCATTGTCTACACAAGGAACAAGATTTGTACCAACATTTCCATCTCTCTGAAGCAGACGCAGCAGCCAAAATGAGATTTTTGAACGCCGTCTTGGCCACGGTAGCCATCAACGGTGTCACCGCCAGCACATGGTTCCCTGGCTCAAAGCCTGGTAAGCTTGCTACCGCCCTTCCTCCTGGTCTGCCGCATGGTCTAACAAAAGTCAGTTTACAACAAGTGGCACGAGACCGAGCTGGAGCGCTGGCTCTCAGATCACGATGTCCCCTACCCAACACCTGCCGACCGCAAGGATCTCGAGTCCTTGATTGAGAAGAACTGGGAGAATTACGTTGTTACTCCTTACAACAGCTGGGACACCAACCAACTCAGCTCTTACTTGCAATCAAAGGGTAAGGAGGCCAAGAACGAGGCCGCTGCCTCAAAGGATAGCCTTTTGTCCCAGGTAAAGGCCAACTGGTATGAGACTGAGGGCAACGCCCAATCTGCCTGGCTCAACGTCAAGGATTGGATTCTCGACACTTGGACTGAGAGCCAGTTGAAGGCATTTGCCGACAAACATGGAATTCCTGGTAAGTCCATTTGCTGTTCTGGCCATTATGGTTTTGATTTGCTAGAACTAATCACTCATCACAGTCCCCCAACCCCGCCACCGTGATACGCTTCTCCAGAAGGCTCGCTCTAGCTACGAGACCGTTGCCAAGAAGGCCAACCAGGCTTCATCGTATCCCGGTAACTGGCTCTACGAAACATGGTCCGAGTCTGATCTCAAGGAATGGCTTGACACCCATGGATTCCCCGCCCCTCAACCCATGACACGCGATAAGCTCATTGCCTCCGTTCGACGCAACTCTCGTCTTGCCTACCTCAAGGCTCAGGATCAGGCCGCTAGTGCCACCGCCAGCGCTCAGGGCGCATATGCCACTCTCACTGACATGATCATTGATGCCTGGAGCGAGTCCCAGCTCAAGGAGTTCTGCGACAAGAACGGTATTGCTGTTCCTCAGGGCACCAAGGCCAACGAACTCCGCGCCCTCGTCCGCAAGCATCGAGCCGATATCCTCGGTGATAACATTTCTGCCAGCGCCGCATCCGCTTACGGTGCTGCTACCTCTAACGCCCAGAACCAGTACGCCAAAGCCACCGACAGCGCTTCTTTGGCTGCTCAGGATGCTTTCAACCAGGCTGTTGGAACTTGGTCCGATAGCCGCCTCAAGTCTTACCTCGACGCTCGTGGCGTCCCTGTTCCCCAGGGCTCCAAGAAGAGTGAGCTCGAGGCTCTCGTCCGCAAGAACGCCCACGTTGCCTACCACGGTGGAAACGCCTGGACCTTTGATGACTTCAGCTACGACAACTTGAAGAAGTACCTTCAGCGCAACGGAGATGCTGCTGCCAAGCAGGTAGCCGAGAAGAAGGATGCCACTCGCGATGAGCTCTACGATGCTGCTCAGTCCGCCTACTCTTCCGCTTCTTCGGCCGGAGGATCTACCTGGGCTTCAGCCACTAGCTACCTTACTTCGGCCACTAACTCTGCCAAGCAGTCTGCCTTCGATGAGTGGACCGAGACTGATCTCAAGGCCTACCTCGATAGCTATGGTGTGCCTGTGCCACAAGGATCTAAGCTTGAGGATCTGAAGGCTGAAGCACGAAAGCAATCCACGTACTTTAGGTACGGCACCAGCTCCCCCACTGGAACTTTCTTCGCTAAGCTCGGAGAAACTGCCCGCGACACCTACAACTGGGTTGCCAACCAGCTTCAGCTTGGTGGCCAGGCTGCGAAGCAGAAGGCTGCGGAGGCCGAGGCTGATGCTAAGGCAAAGATCCGTGAGGAGCTGTAATGCGCTGAAGACACCCGAAACATTTGAGTTCAGTGCTCAGATGGTTGAAGATCCTTGTGGTCTTGGAACATGCGATATCAGTGCGGCAGGTTGCCATTGATGAAAAGGCGAGAAGACAAGGTCAAAGCTGGCTATATTTTAGCCATAACGAGGAAGACTATGGTACTTTAGGTCGTTTGCTTTAGCAGCTAGTTATGTTTTACGAATCCTGTTTTGTTAATCACATGAGAATGATTGTCAATTAATGTGAATGTCGATAATTGAGTCTTGAATGCAACGCGTCCAGTAAAATATATGAAGCTGTCTACGAGGGTGCGTCGAAATTGCGTGGCCACCTGTAGCTGACGCTTTGCTGCCCTTATCAACAATGCACATCAAATATGCAGTGTGAAGTAGATTGGAATATTTTCTAAGTCCTTGACGGGATCTAGAAACAAGATCACAAAGCAGAATATATTGACGCAAAAGTATGAATAAAAATATGATGTGATTCTGTTTTCTGTTTCCTAACGCCATCGCTGGAAGAAAATCCACGGCGACCAAAATTAAGTTCTCGTCCCCCCTTATGGTACGGGTAGAACCATTCACCACACCATCATCATGCCCAGAGCCTGCAGGTTCCATCTGCACCAGCACTGAGACACCATGGGTGCTTAGGGTGCCAGTCCACGTCAAGGACACCCAGCTTGTTGATTACTTTATGGCCCTTGAGCATCTTGACAGGTACAATAGTCGCGTTCTCCATAAGATCGCTCACAACCTTGCCGTGGAAGATCTGTAATGTTCCGTCATCACTGGCATCAGCGAAGAGAGGCAGGCTGCGGTGGAATTTAACAGCCCGGATTGCTTCGGGGTGGAATCGCATCGTCTTGTAAGGGCGAGACGACAGATCAAGATCATGCCACAGCAGTCTCCTGTCGTATGAGCCAACAATAAGGTTATCTCCACCAGGGTGAATATCAAATGAAGAGATCCATCGGGCACCAGGTTGAACAACCTTGACGAGTTCCTGGCGCTGGAGATCGTAGCACCTGATCATGCGCTGAGTAGCAACAAAGAACAGTGGCCTTGAAGGATGGAACTGAGCCGTCTGGGCAAGACCAGGCAGCTTTCGGAAAGGGATTTGACTGAGATGCTTGGAGAGCGTATGGATGGCGACTGAGCTCCTTTGTCCGGTTGGTGAGACGGTGGAGATGAACTCACCTCGCCTATGCCAGCTGATGACCTTGATTGTTGACCTGACAGTAGCCATGAGGAGTACACCAGCAGCTTCCAGCTTGCCTCCAGGTCGTGACCACTTGGCAGGAGGTTCTTTCTTCACACCATTAACTGCACTGGGCTGTGCGCCATTAGTAGCGTAGCCGAAGCCAGCGTCGAGAACATCGCGACTGGCCTTCTCAACAGCGTCACTGGCTACCGAGGGAATCATGAAAAAAAGATCCTCTCCAGCGGCAGCAGCTAGAATAAAGGTCTCATTATTGGGCCGCCATCGCACAATGTTGACTGGTTCCTCGCTGCTAAGCTTTGCCATCCATTCTTGGTGACCGTTGAGAGCCCAGACACGGACTGTGCCGTCATCGCCACCTGAAGCCACGAACTCACCATCTGGACTGAACGATACAGAACGGACTCGACCATCGTGGCCACGGAAGATGGTCTGGTTGAGGGTGGGGAAAGGCTTGAGGTCTTCTGGTCGAGGAAGCTTGGGCAGAAGAGAGTTGGGGTCGATGTTGAGCCTGTTCTTCCTGATTCGTGGCGCGAGGTAAAGATCCAGACAGCGATCGAAGCGTTCCTTGACGAACTCGCCATAACCAGGAACCTTGCGCAGCGAGTCGAATTTGGCAGGCAAGTACTCCTTTTCTCTCTCCTCGGGATCTTGGTTCTTCCAGGCTTCCTTTTCCTCCTCGGTCGGCAAGTACTCGGGTGGTGGGTTGTAGCTAAGGTCGTATCCAGGAGGAGCGAGCTTGGGAGCTGGGATGTTCATAACATGGGGGTCTTGAGGCTCTTCATTTGCCCATACATCGTAGTAAGACTCTTCCTTCTCTTCCTCTTCTCGTTGTCGCTCCTCGGGAGGCTTGTATGGTAGGATGCGTCCCTCCTTGATGGCTCGGACAAGCTTGGCAACACGCTTGGCTTCATGCTTGGAGGGAACAAATCGCCGCTTCGGTTCTGGCGCAGCGCTCAGAGGCATCTTTTCCTCAATACTGGTGAAGTACGGTACCATATCCTGCGATAGTTAGCGGTATCGAGCAATGGAATTGAAGTGAAGGACATACAGGGTAAGGATCGTAATCCTCGTTGGGAACCTCGTTCATTTGTAGTCGTTTAAGAAGTTCAAGCTGGTCCTGGGTCAAATCCAAAGGTTTTCCAGTTTCAGGATCTGTCAAGCCAGTCCAACCCTTGGGAATCTCAATACTGTCGAGGAGAGCATCCAGAGCCTCCCCAGTGGCTGGGCGCATAATCTTCTTGCCATTGATATCGTATCCGATGTGAGGATAGGAGTCGTAGAAAGAGAGGGGAATGTTGCCAATTGTGTTGGTTGGGCCTTGGGCATCTGAATCGTCGCTGTCATAGACAGGATCAACCTCAGCGTACTCGTAGCGCTCCCCGCCGTTGGCATCCTTGACGACGCGATAGTTTGGTTCCGAATTATCAATGTCGAGTGGGGGAGGAGCCGTGAAGCTGTCGTCTAGGTCGGAGGAGGCGTCTTCGCTGTACGCATCATCGTCTTCGTCATCATCATCTTCGTCATCATCGTCTCCGTCGTGCTCATTCGTGTCTTGGCCGTCGAGTCCATCCTCAAGATCGCTTTCCTCAAAGTCAGATCCATCTTCGCTCTGTGACAAAACTCCGTCCAATTCCACGCCGGCGAGCTCGTCATCAACGGGAGCAGGTTCCGCGAGAACCTTTCGCTTGCGTGATGCCAATGTTGGTGCCATTGGATCTATCCAGTTGATCAAGAGGAATTTTGCAGAAGATTAGCAGGTTGAATGGTAAGGAAGCCAAAGCGATTGTTTTTTTTTTTTTTTGCGACAGATAAGATAAGACTAGAAGGAGAACAAGCTAAGCTGGCTGGGGAAAGGTGGAGCCAACAATGGAAGAGTGGAGATCATCAGCGCAGGTACTCACTCTATCACTTTACCAAGAACAACCTTGGACTTCATGTTAATGATAATGATAATCATGCTGCCCTTCTTAGCCTTGGGCTGTATATACTGATATATTAGACGTTATATCAAAGACTCAAAATGTGATTGATGAATCACTGTTCAATACTCCCAAGTTGCTTCTTGACGCTGGATGAGAGCACTAGCAACTACTTCGTTCCAGTCGGCCCTTGTATTGAAGATGAAGAAGACTTTGGGCTTCTGCATAGAAAAGTGTGTACATGAACTTCAATAATTTGAGTGCCACCCCTGGAAGGTTGGAGAAGCTCGTCCTCAGCGTGGTCGTTCTGGTGCTGCTGTGATTAGTTGGAAGCTAGGGAAGCTCATGACTGTTTGAAATTGGCCGACTAGAATAATTGGAACACAGATAGGAGAACGATTAAATATTCGCCTCCTAGAACTCAAGGCCGAGCGAGAAAATATTACTGTTGTTGATTGCAGAAGTGGCGAGGCCAGCCATCTCGACTATAGCATCAAGGCTTGGCGTCTTGATCCAGCTGCCAGGAACAACAGCTTATCTGACGCCACAATGGACTCGATTCAGACCCTTGCATGCCTCGCTTGGTGAATATTGATTCCACCAACGTTCAGTGGCTTTCAGGGCTAACAATCCCGATGAATAGATATGTACTAGGTAGTAATTACTTTCCTCCGATGCTAACTCTTTTTCATTAAAGCGCCGAGATGCTTGAATCTGGTCTGAAGGCTGATAACTTGCCCTATATCGGAAGGGCAACATGATGCATAAACATTCCTTTCCTCCTCTGACAGTACTTATGCAAGACGAGGTTATGTCTTGATATAAGCCATATTCTTACCTCTAAACAAATGACATTAGCATATCATCTCTTTCAAATGCATTTCCTCCATGCTTTGCCCATTGAAGTTGCATGGAAAAAGGCGTCGGGCATTCCGAACCACGCGACCAACGGTGAATATATCAGCCAAGGTTGTAAATCTCTTTCATGATCCGGTTTACATACAGCGGAGGCTAGACTATTCCGACAACCATTCTCCGACTCCTTCTCTCTCCTATCTCTTTGTGGCACAAGACTACAGCAGGTCACTTGCCCGACCTAGCTAACTAACTATACGAGTACCTATAGGATATATAAAGTTCTTATTAAATAGTTACTTAATTTTTTATTATTAAATTTATTAAAATCCTTATATAAATAATCCTTTGCTTATTATAATTAAAATAATAAGCTTTTTAAAGATATTTTAAAGTTAAAATACTAATTTAGTAATATATAAAGTAAAGCCAAAGGCATTAAAGTAAGATAATAAAATAAGATTTTATTTTTAATATAATATAATATAAGGCATTATATACTATGCTAAAAAATATAATAACCTTAATATTAAGTCTTAGAAGACTATATAATTACTGCCTTAAACCTTAAGATTTAATTAAGGCAAGTTAGTAATAAATTAAATTAGGTTATAAAATAATATAATAGGAGAAACATAAGTTAAGGATAAATATAATTAAATAACACTTAGGTTATTTATCTTATAATATTTAAAATATAATAATTAATTAATTATAAATAAATTAAGTTATATTAGGTTTATTTTTAATAGATTATATAAGGTATAATACTAAGTATAATTAAAGTATTATATCTCTTAATAGTAAATTAAATATATATTAAGCTTAATTAATATAAAGAAGTTTTATTAATAGCTAATAAGATTAAACTTATAAAAATATAAATAAATATAATTTATAAATTAAATATAATTTTATAAAAATAATATATTATAAGAGTATTATTAATCTTAGAATAATATAATCCTAAAATATTATTAATATTATAAGTATTAATCTTCTCTTAGTTAATAAGTTAAATAAGAGAAATTATAAAATATATATTTAAAAGTTAAAATACTTATTTAGTAATATATAAAGTAAAGCTAAAGGCATTATAATAAGATAATAAAATAAGGAATTTATTTTTAATAAAATATAATATAAGGCATTATATACTATGCTAAAAAATATAATAACCTTAATATTAAGTCTTAGTAATACTTAATTATATATTTTAACTTTATAAATTATACCTAATATAGGCTATTATTACTACTTAAT